GCTCGAAATGTGCTGTGTTTTCCCGACATGAAATCTAAACAGCGCGATCGCGCTACTTGGGATTCTTCGATAGTTTTTTTCAAAACCGTCTGGTACTCAAACGGTTAAGTTTTGGAGAATCAATTTTCCTAGAAAATTATTTTGTTATATTATTATTTTTTACCTATCCGCCAGAGTGGATGAGCAGACAAGGATCCCGATTAACGGCTCGATGGTCTTGGGTTCAAATTTCGAGTGCGGTAGACTTTTCAATAAACCCGATAGCCATAGATGCTAGTGCTTCAAAACTTTAATCTTAGAATTTATTTCTCTAGCTAAATTAATAATAATATTCTCTTCATCTATTCTCGCGAATAAAATAAAGAGCATAGATGTATTTCAAAATTTGTTAAACACAATCGCTGAAAAGATTAAAAAGGTAGAACACTAATACTTTTCCCAAAGTGAGGTCGTACGATTATTGCAAAGTATTCTGCGTATCTTGCTTTGATTGCTCAACACGAAACACGTCAGGAAAATAAAAATAATTAATCGTAAGCACAAAACGTAATACTCCTAATCTGTAATATAATACATTGACGAATCTATGTGATTTTTATATACTACTGTACTGTTCTTCGAAAACAATGGAAAAGTCTAAATTTCGTGTGTGGACTCACTTAAGCAATTGTTACATGTAAGCTAATAGTCAGAGGGCTATGAAATTTTGATTAACTTCATTTGAGAATTGGTATTATCTAAATGTTATATGGATTCTTTAGTAGTCATCCAATATTTGTATGTCATCTTACAGAATTTGTGGCAAGGGTTTAACGTGGGTTCCTGCCTGAAAGGCTTAACCCCACGGTGGCCCAAGCCACTTTTAAGCGTACTACGCCCCCTGGTGAGTTAGACAATCCCCACAGAGTGGGGGCTAAACAGCACCAGAGTCCAGAACAGTTTATTGTGTATTGAACAATAAACCCCACTCTGGTGAATGGCTATGTCATCTTACAATTAGATGATTTGTTAAGTTTGCACTTTCCAAAGAAAGTTAGATGACCCAGGCCAGGGTTTTTAATAATCTATGAGGAGGTGACCGCTTTATAAAAGTTCAAGTACTACTCGCGTTATAGCAAACAGCCCGTTGTCAATTTTACATCTTTTTAAATAATTAGTATCCGTATGCTTCCGCTTATATGCTTATGTTAAGATGATCGTGACTTCTCAATAATAATAGGTGCTTGCATGCATTTTGATCAGCAAGATTTATTGCTGAAAATTATGAAATAATGTGAAGTATCAATGTACACAACGGTTAAATTCGGTGATTTCGACCTTTCTCTACATAAAATAACAATTAGCCGCTTAGTATTATCGAGGTATTCAATGTGTCCAGACGCCAGTCGTGAAACAATGAAAATTGCATTTTTGCTCCCGAAGCCCAACAAATACTTTTAGAAGCTTATGACGATGCTGCTCCATCCTACCTCAACTTTCAACGGTTTAAAAGTGGTAATATTGATATCAATAGCAAAGAAAGGCCCAGGAGACCAAAAAAGTTGGATAAAAATGAATTCCAAGACTTATTGGACGAAACCCAACTCAAACTCTCAAAGAATTTTCAAACAGTTTAGGAATTGACTAAACAACTGTTTCTAAACGTTTACATGCGATGGATCGGATCTAAGAGGAAGAAAAATAGCTACCATACGAACTACGAACTGGAAATGTCATTTCGAACCGTTTCAACATCTGGGCATCATTGCTTGTTAGGCAAAAAAAGGAGCGTTTACTGTGGCGTATTGTGGCCGACGATGAAAGGTGGATCAGCTACGACAATCTCAACCACAAAAAGTCATGGGTTAGTCCGGGGGAGACATCCACATCGATGCCGAAGCAGAATATTCACGGCCATAAAGTTTTTTTGTGCATATGGTGGGATCAACAATATTAAGAACTGCTAAAACCGAATGAAACTGTTAGTGCAAATGTCTACCGAGATCATTTGATTACATAAAACGATGTATTGTTGAAAAAAACACCAGCAATTGCTGACACGCGGGTTCGAAATGCTGACGAAATGCGAAAAAGGCGCGATGATTGAATCGTTACCGATATCGGCAAACCAATATCGTTCTTTCGACACGATATCGCCATGTTAACAGAAAGATGTGAAAATGTTTTAGAAAATTATAGAAAATATTTTAATTAATGCATATTGTACCAGTGCCTTTTTAAAGTGAAAAAACAATCAAAATGCATGCAAGCACTTAATATGTAAATTGATTAAGTAATTTACCTTTACTTCGTTTTTGTAGAATTGTCGCCGCAAATAGCAGAAACGAGTAAGTCTGCTTTTCACTCCGACCTGTTGTGAGACTCAAATACAAATGTTAACCTATAATGGATGAGAGAGTAAATGTGGACTTGATATTAATTTATATTATCTTTCCTACAAAAATTCGCTCAGAAAAAACACAGTGCCATGCGTTCTCATACAGAAAGAGCGTGATAAACTAGAAAGAGCGTGATAGACTAGAAAGAGCGTCAAGACTATTTTCTGTGATATATTTGGAACAAAAGTAAGATCGATATGGACTGTAGGCTATTCAATATTTTGATATTTTATTGAAATAAAATTTCATAACTTCTTGAGGATCTTGTGGGCGTTATTTAATTCAGTAACCGTTTTTTGGTATATTTTGTTTTTTTTCTGTTTTCGAAATTGGTGATTTCCACGTATATTAGTTTGGGGAAAAAGAAATCCATTATTTTTTCGGTAGATGGCTGCACTGATAGATTTCTCGTAAAGTATCGATCAAACAATTTCCGATACTGTACATTTCGCAGTAAAAAAAATTCTTTTGCTGTTTTTTGTTTGGTGCATTCAGTTGTGTGTTACAGCGTGTTAAAAATGGAAGTGAACAAAGAGAAAATTCGGTACATTTTACAGTTTTTCTTTGACAAAGGCGAAAATGCAAGCCAGGCGGCTAAAATTGTGAATGGTGTTTATGGTTCCGATACTGTAACAACCAATTATGTGCAATTTTGGTTTCGTAGATTCCGTTTAGGAATTTTTGATGTTAAAGATGCACCTCGCACAGGTAGGCCGGTCGTCGAAAATTTCGATAAAATCGGAGAAATGATCGAAGTTCCCCGGCATGTTAGCAGTCGTAACATCGCCGAGGAGCTAAAAATCGACCATAAAACAGTTTTAAACCATTTACACAAAGCTGGATTCAAAAAGAAGTTCGATGTTTGGGTGCCACACCAATTAACAGGAAAAAACATGATGGGCCGAATTTCCATCTGCGAAGCCTTGGCCAAACGGAATGAGATAGACCCATTTCTTAAACGGATGGTGACTGGAGATGAGAAATGGATCGCATACGATAACCCTGTGCGAAAACGATCGTGGTCAAAGAGCGGTGAAGCACTTCAAACGGTGGTCAAACCAGGACTAACGACCAGGAAGGTTTTGCTATGCATTTGGTGGGACTGGAAGGGGATTATTTATTATGAGTTGCTTATATATGGCCAAACGCTAAATTCGACTACTAGAGTTTTTTGCAAATAGAGACCAGGACTTCAATGAGAGAGGCATTTTGAAGTTACCTTTAAAATGACAACAAATCGTACAACAAAACGGTGCATATTTGACCCAAATTGGACAATCCGAAGCATGTTAAATAAAGTCCTGAAGTTGATATAAAAATAATGGATTTCTTTTTCCCCCAACCTAATAGTTGGTAATTACTATTGAATGTTATGAATTTATCGTATTGAATAAACAATTATTGATAAATAATCAATGACATATAAAAATAACAACAATAATAACAACAGTGCTGAAGAACTAGATCGATCAAGTATCGTATTCCTTTATAACAATGCTGCACCGCACACATGTTCAGTGGCTTATAAGAATTTCGAAAGCTTGTCAGAGAAGTTTCTACAAAAATTCTTAATAGTGTAAAACCGACTTTAGAACAGGGTATAAAAATCTCGTTGTTAAAGTTTTTCGTCCAGAAGTTTTGCAGTGATTGCATAACGGTTTTACCAGAAAACTAGTAAAATACAATCAATCTTTAATCATAAAAAAAAAATTTTTGAATTTTGCTAAAAAACGCCACGACATTTCCCTTCCTTGGCACAATATTATTGTAATTTTAGTAAAAGAGCAAAATACTATATATACTTAATTTCGATCTACGAAAAATTTTATTTTAAACGAAACTTGTAATTCATGTTTACATTCATATGCAAACGGAAGGGCGAGAGTGTTGTCACTCATTAAAAATAAATGTAAAAATGCTTATCATAATATTTTCTCTTAATTAATTATAAATGCTCGTCACACTCTACTTTATACAATTCGAATCAAAAAATGTAAAGAAATAAAATACGCATTTAATAATAATTCTAGGAAAGCACCCACCAGTGCGACGAATGAAACAACTTTTCTGACGACCATAAAACTGACACTTTATAAAGAAATCTTTGTACGGCGTACGTTTTTAAACGAGCATGCACTGTCGGTGTAGCACTTGTAATATAAAAATCATGCATACAACAAGACAAAATATTGTGGTTTGAAGAATATTTGCTTAATAGCTTAATATTTAAAAACTAACATAACGACTGTTAATAAATTAGCTTTACAGAAAGCCGATAAATGCAAAAATCATTTAATTTATATAAACTTATTTACACCAACATTCATTGAATTGAATTTGCAAGTTTCATGTGTTGTATGTTTTTCAAATCCGTGGTACGTAAAGCATTTCTAACAAGTTGAGAGTTCGAGAGAGAAATAGTACCAACGATAGGTTAAATCTAAAGAGATGTTATTGCAATGAGTTGTATAAAAACTGTATATGTAAAAGAGAAAAATTCGATAACATATATTATTATAAAAAAGAAAAGTTCGAAGATAAACTATACATGGTTATTTTTAAATATTAATTTTATATCATATCTAACGTATTATAATATTTGTAATTTATTTTTATTTTCAGTTATCTTTAATCCAACTAACACCGACCGACACAAACGGACGTAGTATGCGTTTAGAATTGAAAAAATATTGTCCATCAATGCAATTAGAATTCTGGTCATGTATGAATCGTACTTTAGACGGTAAGTATTAAAGAAAAGGCTATGAATAATCGCTGCTAGGCAGACATACATTCAAGTTCATGCCGCCCTTGTTAACTTCGCCGTGACTTCGGCAATCATGATTCAATTGGTAAAACACAATTTACCACGTTTTATTTTAGAGAAATCTTTCCATCGTCTTAATAGACGAGCACTTTTCAATATTTCTACCAAATTACACGCACAATAACTTCGTTAAAATTTATATTTTTTTATATATTTTGTTGAATTCTGAGTTTATCGGCTCGTATCCTACCACAAGAGTTGCGCACAATGAGAGGTTAAAACACTACATCTACTCTTATTCAAATGACGAATTTTACCATCAAACAAGCTTAAAATATTATAGTTAAGAAACAATCAAAATTTAAAATTCCATCGACATTAATTTGCTAATTAATTAATTAAAAACAAAAGAATGCGTGAGCATAACGACACATAAAGTCATTTTGTATTCCCTCTGCTCTTAACAAAAAAGCGGATAATTTAAACCTATAGAAACTATCTGTGCAATTAAATTGCGAATTTCATCATAAACCGACCGCAAGGATTGCAAGAAGAGAAAAATGCTTCAAATATTACAAGCAGCCCTTAAAACGTAGCAAAAGCACAGTTTCATCCTAAATTAAAAGTTTATTTTCGTGAAGATTGAAGTCAGATCCTGCAGAAAGCCTGACAAAACGAGCAACTAGCACTCGACATTAAATTAAAAATAAAAGCAATAAATCCCGTGGTCGGTGGCTGCGTACTCGCTGATGATAAAATACTAAAACTAAAATACGAGCGGTGACTTCACAGAGTAATTAAGTGCATAAAACAAAAGGTTGACAAATGCAATGAAAGCATGTATATTGTTTTTTAAAATATATATATATACTATTATTATTATAATAAAAGCCGATAGATAGCCTTAGATGCTACTGCTTTTAAGAGTTTAGTCTTAGAATTTATTTCTCTGGCGAAATTAATAATAATAATAATATAATTTTAGACTAATGAAATAAATCCTTAGACTAAAAACAAGACATTGAGCACTAGTAGGCTATCGGCTCTGATTTATATAAATGTACATTAGATATCGATCCTAGTAGTTTCGGTAAAGTAATATATTGAATTGATATTCTGTTCTGAAGCTCATTTTACAATGTTCAAAGGGTTAATCGTTCCAAATGCAATACTTCTAGCCAAGGAAAAGTTAACGCAGTCGCAAAGAATGTGCTTTATAGTGAGAGTTTGTCCACAACAGCAGATTGGAGAGGAAGACTTCTTCAAGATCCCTTAGTGAGTTGCAATTGTATGACCAAGGCGAAATGTTTGGATCTTGGTTTTCTCAACATTTGTTGGATATAAAGGTGGAGTTAATTGAGGGTTAATGGAAGAGTAATGTTGATGATGGTATTGCAGATTTCCTTCTGTAATTTTCTGTTTAACCTTTTTTCCAATGTATCTTTGACGATCCAACTTTTCCATAACATCATCCATAATTAAAGGAGAAGAAGCAGCATACATAGCCGCTCGATCAGGCCGCTCATATCCCAATAAACCAGTATGACTTGGAACCCATAACAAGTTAATTTTTCCGCCGGGTGTTGTAATTATATTTCTTAATTTGTTGACGGTGCTCTATCTCGACGTCGAAGGATTCCGAATAACTTGTAATACAGATAAACTGTCGGTATGAGCAAGGTTCGCAGCGTGAAGGATAGCTCTGACTTCGGTTGTGAAAGTTAAAGTACTTTTGTTAAATATGTGATTGAGAAGAACCTCTCCTGAAGCATCTATCACGGCACAAGCAGGAGGCAGACCAGAAGATTTTGAACCATTTGTGTATAAAAGGTTCCAACCGGTACTCTCCAGTACTTCGGTTTTTTCAGCTATTAGATTCCTGAAGACGTAATTTGGAGTATTTTCTTTCTTGTGCATAGATAGCGAAATGTCAAAAGAGCAGTCTTCCAAAATTCATGGAAGTTTTACACCAAAATAGTGAAAAATTTTTAAGGGAATGTCGAATTCCTTTGCGACGTACAAACAATAGCCAATTGCAGATGGTGACTTCCGAATTTTCTTCGCAAAAATAATCTTTCTCACGTCATCACCGCGAATAGATTTGTTTGAATTAAGAAGCTAGGGGACTATTTTGGCTTTTAACTCATAAAGTCTATTTTCTAAAGTTGGGAGACCAGTTTCAATTATCATATTATTTATGGGCGTCGTCCGAAAAGCATAAACTTGCCCTGAGGGCTTGGTGATAGACCGGCTTGAGGATGTTGATATCAGATTTGCAGCTACTGCCATAAATTATCAAAGCATAGTTAATGTTGCTTAAAACAAGCATTTTGGTAAGATAAGCAATAGTGCCCAAGCACTGTATGTACTACATGAAATTCACCCTTGTTAAAATAGAATTTTTTAACCGAAGACAGTGTGCTTTCCAACGATATTTGTTGGAAAAAGTGAGTCCGAGCATATGGAGCGTCTGCACGTTTAGTACTGGCAAATCGTTAATATGCATCAGTAGATTTCCTGCATCGCAAATCTGCTTTCGACAAATGTGAATCTTTTTAGATTTTTTCATGGAAATTTTAGCCCCTGACGAGTTTGCCCATGCGGAAATCTCTCGTCCAATAGATTCGAGGATGTTGATTACCTTCGTGCTATCTTTTCTTTTGTAAAAATATATGCATCGTCTGCGTAGAGGCAATGGTCCACTCTTGGTACACGGCAAAACATTTTGCTAATTTCGTTGAAAGCCATCTGGAAAAGCGTGACAGAAAGAGGAGATCCTTGCGGAATGCCATTCATTAGAGGAAAAGAATCAGAGAGATGATTATTGATTCTAGCTTTAAACCGCCGATGCGAGAGAATTGTTACCTGATTTCGTTCGGAAAATGCTGTGCTTGTAAAATAATCAATATGTAAAAGAGCGTCGAGGCACCCTCTATTCTGCTTGAAACCAACTGGTTTCTTTGTTATCAGATTCTTGGACTCAAGAAACCAAGATAATACCTTTCCAATACCTTTGAGAGGTAAGATAAAACAGACATTTTTTGACTTTGAAGTTGGAACAACTGGTGCCAGTTTGCACATGTAGGGTATATGGTCAGTCAAGAATACCGTGTTATATAGGTCCAGTAATTTCTTTTTACTTGAATTAGACAGCGCACTGATCATTTGGTAGGAGATGCGGTCTAGACCAGGTGTCCTCCCCTTCGATTTGGAGAGACAACTTTCAAGTTCTAAGGTAGATATGTAATTTTCGAGGGAGGTAGCACACTTGTCAATACAATTTAAAAGAGAAATTGGAGTCTTTTTATTTTCGATGAAAGCACTGAAAAAATTGCTGTCGGGGGTATTCGCACCACACTTTTCCAAAGTAATTAGAAATCTCATCTGCGTCAGTTAAAGTTCCATTGAGAATGCAGATAGCAGAGATTTCGTTCATATTTGAAGTTCCATTAAGTCTGTTGATTTTGTTCCAGGCAACTTTCATTGATGTATTTCTGTGAATTCCTCTCGAAAAAAGTTCGAAACTAAGTGGCTTTGATTTTCGTAGTTCCTTCCTGAGCATTGGCCTTTTTGTAGAATAACAAATGATCATGATCAGGACATCTCTTAAAGCGTTGCCATAGATCTATTTTATTTTTCCTCAAAAACCAACGAGCATGTTGTTCCACCAAGGAACCATAGCTCGTTTAAAAGAGCTGTTGGATTGAGGAATAGAAAAATAAGCAGCCATGCGAATCGCTTTAGACATAATAGCAGCATCATGGTTGCAGTTCCCGTTAAATGGCTTCGAATTCAGAAATGACTCGGCCTGTTTGGAATAACTGATCCAATCCGCTTTATCTACGAGGAATTTGGCCTGTTTTGCTGGAGTAACAGAGGACTTTGAAAGGTTAAGATCGATTATGATTGGATAGTGATCACTATTATGTAGATCATCAGAAATAGACCAGGAAAACAAAGGAAGAAGTGACAGAGAGCAACATGTTAAATCAATATGTCAAAAAGTATGATGAGTTGAAAAGTGCGTTGGTTTTCCATCATTTAAAATGCAGAGATTGCTTTGAATGAAGGCCTTTTCTAAAACACGACTGTCGTTTACTGTTGAGCCCCAAATGGTATTCTAGCTATTAAATTCGCCGCATATAACTAATGGACGGGAAAGAACGGAGAATAAGTTGTTGAGTTCTTGTTGAGAAAACGATTGTGAAGGTGGGATATAAAGCGAAATCACTGTAAATTTTATTTTTAAGGTTATTTGTATCGGTACGTCTTATATGTTTGAGCTGAAATTTATGCGTTTGTGAGGTATACTTGATTTTATAAAGACACCAACTCCTTGTTTAGAATATAAATTTTGATCAGCATTGTTGAAATATCCAGTAAATGATTTGGGTGGAATAGGATTAAAAGAGCTTCTACAATGGGCTTCTTGAAGCGATATAAAGGTTGGACTGAAATCACTTACGAGTGTACGGAGTTCATCGAAATTATTAAGAAGTCCCTTAATGTTCCATTGTAGAATTTTAAAAACACTATTCAATTGTAGTGACATGGAAACGGAATGGTAGGTGGGTTAGTTGACATATCAACGTTTCCGTCGAAACGGTCGCAATAGGAAGTGCAACGAGTCGGCGCACGTGAATTATTTGAAGGTTGGTTAAGGGATGATAGATTGGATTCATTACAGCTTGTAATTTGTTGAGTAAAGTTGAGAGCTGTTGATTCTGGGCAATGTAGTTTGTCAGACCTTAGGATAGGTATTGTTGTTTTAATTTTTTCAATATTTGCTGTTGTTTTGGTTTTTTTAATATTATCTTTGGCGGGTGATGGAACTGGTTTTGCAATGTAATTTTTGATTGATGGTAGAACAGGTTTTTCATTGGAAGGAGTTGGAGTTAAGGCTTATTAGGCTCGATATGCGAGGCGACAGCGGCGTAGGTATTACATTTGTTAATTCATTGGGTTCCAGATGGATTCCTGGTATTTGCATCGCGCTTCGCCCATGCTACAGTAATTTTCTGTTTACATATCTAGAATTTCACGCATTTGTATAAAACGTGGGCATTGTTCGTCTAACGCCGAGTGCTGATCATTGCAATTTAAGTAAAAATTACGGGTACAGCATTCAGCATGTGGAGAGAGACCACAGTTAGCATAATATGGAGCACTGGTGCACCTATTTGCGGTGTGACCGTTGGCAGTTTTTGCACCTCATGGGATTTGGAGTGAAGAGTTTTACTTTATATTTATACCAAGCCACATCAACAGTTTGCGGTAACCGGTACCGATCAAAGGTCATAATAATCCTACCTGTAGGAGAGCTGGTTTTTTTCGTCGCCATTTAATTTAGTGAATTTATGGACTTCAGTCACTCCTTGATTGCCCGTTTCGCGAACTATTTCATCTTCCGGCACATGCTTTAAGCATGGGGCATAAATTGCGCCTCTAACCGAGTTCAGGTTGGGATGAAGTTTGGCAAAAATAGCACATAAATTAGCTAATGATTTCGACTTTAGGAGGTTTCCAGTTGCGCGCCGGTTCTCAGCGCGGACAAGTAAATTCCCATTACGTAGAATCGAGATAGGGTCTATATATGTTGTAATGCTATCTAGGGCTTTTTTTACAGCAAAAGGACTGATTTGTGAAATTGTTATGCTAGTATCAGTTGAAGAAACGACAGCATATGTTTTGTCAATAGGAGTGATTTTACTGGTTGGTAACACCGGAAAGTCCAGATTTTTAATATTTTTTCTTTGGGTGGATATGTCCACTAATAGGTGAAATCTGTTTGAGTTTTTATCTGGCGGCCCCGGGCCTTATGGTTTTCTATTATTTAGTAATTTTGGAGATAACCACCCACTTGAAAAGGTTTGGGAACTACTAAGGATAATGTCAATTGTTTTAAATTTTTTATTTTTGTTTTCTTTTTTGTTTTTTTTTTTTATTTATTTTTATTATATTTAGAGCAAACAGAAGAACATACGGTAACACGCGATAATCGGTTTTTGCAAAAACCCTGAAAAGGCACGAGCTAAAAAATCGCAGACGAAAAAGAAAACACGCACTACTCAGAACACAAATTGACTTGAATCGATGAGTTTTTTAAAACGAATATAAATTCAAAGAGTATCGCAGAATGAATAAATACATACGTAGCTTTTACCGAACCACATATGAAATTAATGAGATGGAATGGCCAAAAAACAATCGTCAGCAATATCGCAATTTTTATGTGACTGGTGGGTTTAATCCATATGGAAAGTGAAAAAAGTAATACAGTTAAATTGAATGTTCACATTTAGGTTTTTTCTCGTAGAAAAGTTAATTATTATAAATTTTTTTACCGGTTTTCCATAAAAATGAATGTTAACAACTCGGTTATAACATATTATTTGTGATTAATTCATCAGCAATATAAATGATGTCGTATTCATAAGATGTATGTGAAGATTCGTCATTTCTCAATTTATTGTCAGGGTTTTATAGTAATCATGTTTAATAAGAGACATGTCACAGTTTTACCTTTAGGATATAACAAATGTTGATCTACATTTTTCAAATTTTGTGGGCTACCTGCTAGAGACTTTCTTATATTAGTTTGGGGAAAAAGAAATCCATTATTTTTTCGGTAGATGGCTGCACTGATAGATTTCTCGTAAAGTATCGATCAAACAATTTCATATTTATGCTCGTTGGAAAGGTGACATTTCGCAGTAAAAAAAATTCTTTAGCTGTTTTTTGTTTGGTTCATTCAGTTGTGAGTCACGGCGTGTTAAAAATGGAAGTGAACAAAGAGAAAATTCGGTGCATTGTACAGTTTTTCTTTGACAAAGGCGAAAATGCAAGCCAGGCGGCTAAAATTGTGAATGGTGTTTATGGTTCCGATACTGTAACAGCCAATTATGTGCAATTTTGGTTTCGTAGATTCCGTTCAGGAATTTTTGATGTTAAAGATGCATCTCGCACAGGTAGGCCGGTCGTCGAAAATGTCGATAAAATCGTAGAAATGATCGAAGTTCACTGGCATGTTAGCAGTCGTAACATCGCCGAGGAGCTAAAAATCGACCATAAAACAGTTTTAAACCATTTACACAAAGCTGGATTCAAAAAGAAGCTCGATGTTTGGGTGCCACACCAATTAACAGAAAAAAACATGATGGATCGAATTTCCATCTGCGAAGCCTTGGCCAAACGGAATGAGATAGACCCATTTCTTAAACGGATGGTGACTGGAGATGAGAAATGGATCACATACGATAACCCTGTGCGAAAACGATCGTGGTCAAAGAGAGGTGAAGCACCTCAAACGGCCAGGAAGGTTTTGCTATGTATTTGGTGGGACTGGAAGGGGATTATTTATTACGAGTTGCTTATATATGGCCAAACGCTAAATTCTGATCTCTACTGTCAACAACTGGACCGTTTGAAGATAGCGATTGACCAGAAACGGCCAGAATTGGCCAACAGGAGAGGTGTCGTGTTCCACCAGGATAACGCTAGACCACACACATCTACAGTGACTCGCCAGAAACTTCTTGACTTGTATGAAGAATGGTTTGTTCAGCCTAGAAAGTAAAAATGAAGAAGCCTATCTCATTAACTGCTGAAGATACTGACATGATTCCTGATGCTAACCTAAGAAAGAAGTAAGAAACTTTGCGGAGGGCCACGGCCCACCACTAAGTACCCTACATTTAAATGAGAAAGCTTTACTGCCTTTTAAACGTAATAATAAATGATCTAACTACTACAAAAACAGTAATTCATGTTAAGTCTTATATTATTGGAATGAAACCAATAAAAATAGAAAAAAGAGCTTTTCGATGTATCTCGATGTATTTCGATGTATCATTGGTTCCGTCGCAAAAAGAAAAGTTGTTCACTTTCCCTTTATATAATGCGTAACGAAGCGTAGTAACTTTTAATTGATTTGATTATTATTCACCCGTCAACTCTAACTGCAGTTTACAATAAGCAACCTAAGCAAACTTTTATTTATTCTCTCTCAATAATAAAATCTAAAAACTGCTTAGAAGCAAATTTGAATGTTATTATTTAACTATACATCACTTCAATCCCAATAATATCGAGTTTTTAAAGTTTTCAAATTCGCCTAAGTGATCGACTAGGTAAAGGAACTCGACTAAGAACTTATGGGTTCAAATCTCAAGTGCGGTTCACTTTGCAATAAAGACGGTAGACTAACGTGTTTGTACTTTAAGACTTTAGGCTTTCAATTTATTTCTCTGGCCAAATTAATTATAATAATAATAAACTGTTAAAAAATTGCAAAACGTCCATATATTATATAAAATGCAATTAAGTAATGAAAAGTTTTGATAATCAATTTTAAAAGACTTTGATTGAATAACATCCGCACGGTTAAGCGCTTTTCTAAAATCTTCAAAGTTATTCGATGTAGGCGTAGGGGTGAATTGAAATCGTCGAATAACATCAAAATAATATGCAAAACTAAGAATATTATAAGGATTTTTTTAGCAACAGCTTAACCGGCGATTGTCTTAAATAATATTTAATTTAAAAATTGTATTAGTCTCTTGAAGGGTGGCTTAATCAAAACACTTGTACGGCAGCTCATAAATAAGCAAACGCCGCCTGGTTTGTGCAACGGCATAAAGTTGTTTGAATTGATCAATTGTTCAATTGAGATTTGATTTATTCGATAGACCAACATGCAGAAGCCGCTTACAAGTTGAAAAGATAGCATTCATATGCGAAAGCATAAACGAAATGAATGACAGAAAATAATTGCTTGTCATCAATTAGATTGACAATTTAAATGAGTTCCATTTTTTTTTTATTCGCAGTTTGGATTGTATGAAACTCGCGGCTCTGTCATGTATGACACACATACCCATCTCTTTCGTCTTGCTTCGCCTTTCGTTTATTAATATGTAACTTTTCTATGCTTTTTCTATTTGCTCTTTGTCGTATATGTATGTGGATATCAATATCATAAAAAGCTGTGGCTCGTGGATCTCAGTGGTCGGGTCGTCGCTGTTGCGGCTTGGGTCTTTCGCCACGTTGCAGTAATGCCTGTGCAACGTCCTCAACTACGGGTGAATTAATTAATGCATGTCGTCAGAGTGATGAACAGCATATGTTTGCCTGTTTCGAGCGTCAAGAGTCTGGTGATCGTTGTTGCGGCAATGCTCGCACATCAGAATGCTTACAGGTAAGTATGTATTACGAATGTATGCAATAAACAATGAATATATGCGCCAGCGTATATGAACGCCATTTCACACATATGGGTAAGCATGTACACATGAGTACGACGTGGGCGTTTACTGTGTATATTATTAATTCAATTACCATTTTAATAAGTGGGTGTGGCTTCCATATAAAGAATATTTTTTCGTAATTGACAAAATAAACAAAAAGAAAATAGACAAAGTTCCCATCTTAAGGTTGAGATAAGAGCATTGTCACATAACAAGTGTAGAAGTCGAAATTGCAACGTTTCTATTACACATAAATAAGTCAGAAAATTTTTTTCCCGTATATTTCCCACAGAACGACTTCAGCTACATTTTCGCTTCTTGCACTATTAAAGAATAAGATAAAGGCGTCCTTGTATAAAAAGGTACTTTTAAAACATGAATTCGATATAACACGATTTCAAAAGATCAACATGCACATATTCCGCTCGATGTTTTTTCGATTGTGTAGAAAATGAAAAAGAAATTAGAGAAAATGTTGCCGCTGCGTTTTTATAAGAAGCGAAATATGTATTTCGCAAAAGAGATATAAATATCGTGAAAATGGAAAAGTTCTTATATAAATTTAACTAATCTGCAAGAAGAAATAATTTTAATAAAAAAATTAAAAGATTTTTTCGTTGAAAAAGATTCTTCAATAGTACGTAGCCGTGAATTCAAAAGAGGATTGGAAAGTCCTTTAGCTTCTTATCGAGAAATTTCAATAGAATTGCAAGATTGAAACAGGCCGGTAATTGCAACTGCATCAGACAATTTTTGTAATGATGGAGAAATAAGTAATAAAGAGGAGTTTTAACAAACTTTGACAATACAAAAAGAAAATAAAATTCATTTTGTGATTGTTATTATTATTTTTTGAATATCTTTTTCTATACATTTTTAATTTTTATACCCATCACCCCAAAAGAAAGCATCGTAGATCTCATAAAGTTCTTGATCAGCATCAAATTCTAGATCGATTTAAGCATGTCCGTCTCTCCGTCTGTGTAATGTCGGTTGTAAACAATCTCCTGGCCGCAAAAATGAAGCTATCGACTTCAAATTTGCCAGAAACAGTGGAACTTCCTGCACGTAGGCTTTTGTTGAAAATGGGAAAAATCGGTCAACGGTCACGCCCACAGCAACGCGTAAACTGAGAAAAGCTCCGTTTTTCAAAAGGAATGAAAAATTGTTTTTTTTTTTGCTTATTGCTCATAAACTATAACAAATAAATATACAAAAATTTGAACACGTATTCAATTGGTTATGCTGTAGCATCTGTGTACAAAAATGGAAAAAAATTTAACGCGCCTACCCAATATTATAGTGTATCAAAACTTAATTATTTTTTCAATGACTTTATAACACGCGGAAACAAGCTTCAGAAACCCCATAAAGTATACAAATTCTTGGACAGTTATAAACCTTGAAGGCACATGTCCACCCGTTAGTCTGTCCATCTGTCTGTTTGCGTAACTTTGCAATATTTGTGGCATACATTCTCCCGTTAGCGAAAATGAAAATATCGACGAAAAATTTGAAAAAGAATTTGGTATTGATATAAACTTTTCAAGGGATAGGCCTACAACGCCCACATGCCTCTACGACAAAAAGTTTTATTTTGAAAACCTTACAAAATATTCTTAAAAAAGTAATAAATGCGTGCATGTATTTTGATCAGCGACATTTACTACACAAAGGTTAAATTCTATGATTTAAAATAAAAATTTTCCATTCAGTATTAATGAGTTTTCAATATACACAGACGCTAACTATGGAACGATCAAAATTGCATTTTCGACATTCATTACTTTTGTTGTTTGATTTGAAGAAATCTGCTGTCGAAGCCTTTTCAGCAATTTTACAGGCTTATGGTGATGCTGCTTTATCCAATCTCAACTATCGGTTTTGGTATCAACGCTTTAAGAGTGGTGATTTTGGTGTCAACGGCAAAGAATGGCCTGGAGGACCAAAAAAGTTGGATGACCATGAATTGCAAAACTTATTGGACAAAAACCCAACCCAAACTCTCAAAGCACTTTCGAATGCCTTAGCAGTTGATAAATCAATGGTTTCTAGACGTTTATATACGATGGGAAAAATCCAAAAAGAAGGCAAAATGACTACCATACGAATTGACTGAAAATGACATTTCGAACCGTTTCAAAATCGCCATTTCATTGCTTGCTGGGCAAAAAGGACAAGAGTTTACTGTGGCGTATTGCAACTGGCAGCGATGAAAAGTGGATCTACTACAACAATCTTAATCTCAAATGTCATGGATTACTCTGGGAGAGCCAACCACATAGAAATTGAATCATGGCCACAAAGCTTTTCTGTGCGTACGGTGCGATCAACAATAGGTAGTGTACAAAGAGGGGAAAAAGTTGTAGAAAACATTGAAAACTATTTTGATTAATATGTATTGTATCAATTTTTTTCAATAAATACTTTTTTAAAGTGAAAAACTGATCAAAATACATGCAGTCATCTAATATTAAACGATCTAGTCCTTAATGATCAAATCCATTTTCCGAATCGTCCATCATTGAATTAAAACAACGCCAACATAACATAATGGATTTCGTCCAAATATGCCAAGAATTGCGACCTTTAAGCTGAGCACAAATTCACGAGAACAGGCGTACAGACGTACATACAAGTTTAAATGGTTGCAAAAAATATTTCTAAAGCGATCAGTGCAGCAAGAGTCAAAGTCTAAGTCAAAATGGACATAAATAGACGTAATGAGACAACAAATATACGCTCGGTTATTTACGCAGCATTGAAGAAGGAATCCTTAATATTTTTTCATTACTTTAATTTTATGCATTCCAGTATTGGATCTAAATGGTAGCACGCCTATTATAGCCAAAAATAAAAGAAATTAAATTTTACCACATAAGACAATTAATTATACAGAGAGTTTCAGATTATTGTTTATTTTTGCGTTGTTGCGTTGCGTTAAATCTTATCTTTGGAAATACTTAATAAATTGCAGCTTTCTATGTTTCTCAATTTTCGGGACCGTTTTAAAGGTAGTCAAAAGCGGACAGATGAACAATATTATCTCAACTAAAAAACCTACACACCTTATGAGATCGCTAAGGGATATTTTGACAAGTTTAGTACAACTAAAACGATGAACATAAACCAAAATATTGCAACCTATAGTAAATTTCGGCCTGAAATTGCTGCAAACATTTACCAAATTCATTTAAAATTTTAAAACAAAATCGCCCACAGTTACAAAACAATCGTACAATTTTTTTATATTCGCATGTAATTATTCAAGATGTGTTACAAGGGATCGCAAATACCCTTTATTTGCTTTTTTAATTGCAGGCTTGTCGCGAAATATTTGAACCTCTAACTGCAAATAAGCGTAACAATCGTCGCCGCTTACATGAGATGTGCGCCGAAAGAAATAACGACGTTTTGCAGTGCGTCAAAAATATTACCGACATGACACCAATAACTAATTCATACAAATGTAAGTATAGAACCGTCTTCTAGAACCAAAAGGGGGAATCCTTCTTTTTCATTATTTTTTCTTCCTTTGTTTAATTTATCAGATATGCCCTGTTGTGACTTTTCTGATAATGAAAGCTGCCGTCATATATGTCGTCTTATTTTAAACACCACCGAAAGCACTGACATTATTATTGGAGAAATGGAATCGGGTGGTTGTGGTACGATTTTACCACATTTGCCTTTATGGCAATGTTTCTTTACGGCCGAACGGAAAATATTCGTGCCGGCTACTGCCACAAATTCACAAGAAAGTGAAGTTTCACAAATCAATCGTTTGGGAATAGATGGCGCTAAACTACACTGTTGCGAAAAAGCAATGAGTGCAAAGTGTAGGCGCCTATGTTTGCAAACATATACCACCGATTGGACGACATCGATGAACAACTTTGAGAGTGCATGTCTCATGCAACCCAATGAACTAAATTTGCGCCAATGCGTAGATGAGGTTGACGAACCGTGTGAACTAGGTTGCGATGGCTTAAGTTTTTGCACGAATTTCAATAACCGTCCTACAGAACTGTTTCGCAGTTGCACTGCTGACGCGGACTTGGCTGCTAAATCCGATCTTTTAATGTGGCAACAACGCGGTTATGTGAGCTTGCCGGGCGTTAATTTACCGATTAAGAATATGACACGCTGTTCACCACAGAAATGGAAAGCTGTTGCATGCGTCTTGCAAATTAAACCATGCACTCGCCAAGGTCATTACAATCATATATGTCGTGAGAACTGTTTTGAAATTTTAAGCGAATGCATGGATTGGACACGCATGAACACTACACTGAACGCTGACGCAATTTGTGGCAGACTACATCCCGAGGGAGAAGCGGTGCCATGTTTATCGTTACGACCTTACTTAGAAGAAAGCGACGCCCCGAAAGACACGGGCGGCCATCATAAAATTACATCACCTTGCAAAGGCCATCCTTGCAATGCCAGCGAAGCCTGCTTAGCCGCTCGTAACGGATCAATGACATTTCAATGCGTACCAGGCTGCGCTTTAGGTGAAACATCCAATTATTTGGTACCTTTTGGTGCCTACGTACGTATACCTGTACAATTGTCAGCTAATCGTGGCGGTTTTAAGGTTTGTCGCTGTGGTTTGCAAGGTCGCATTGAACACTGTCAGCCTTTACCAAGTGTATCATATGAAAGCTGCATTTTACCCGGTGGTAGAAAAATAAAACATGGTACATCGTTTTATTTAGAATGTAATCTCTGCACTTGTTACGCCGAAGAGATAACTTGTACGAAGAAACAATGCAGATTTCCAGGTAATTTTCTTTGGAAATTTAATATGCAAACAAGCCTCAGACTTGTATTTGTGCTTAAAGGATATACTGATGTTTCGTACACCAGCCTTCCCTGCAACTGTCCTACACATTACGTACCCGTCTGTGGTAGCAATGGCAGAACGTATCCTTCGCTTTGCGTGGCCCGTTGTTTGGGTTTACAGGATAGTGATGTAGAATATGGTGCTTGTTCAATATGGAGTCCTTGTACACCGGGTTCCTATCATTGCCCAGCTGGAAGTGAATGCGTTGAGCATCGACAAATTTGTTTGTCTAATATGCATAAACCCTGTTTGCAGTATATATGCGGTAAACTATGGAATTTGATTGACTGTTAACAGTTTATTTAAGATTAATTTTTTTGTATTTACAGTTAATCAAACCCAAGCCTGCGAAAGTAACGATCAACCTGTTTGCGATACCAAAGCTATAACCTATAATTCCGCTTGTCAACTAGTACGGACCAGAGCCAATTTTGCGCATTGGGGCTCTTGCAATCGTGGCTGCTCTTGGAAAGGTCCCGTTTGCGGTATAAATGGAGTAAATTATCCCCATGAATGTGCGGCATGGGCTGATTATGTTTTAGTCGACTATCGAGGTCGTTGTCGTGAAGTTGGTTTGCTTATGAACGAAATGGGCCGGAGACGTTGCCGTTTGGTTAAGTGCCCAAGTCCACCCTCACCCTACTGTCGCAGTATTGTACCACCAGGAGCCTGCTGCCCCATATGTGCAGGGGCTTTTCGGATTATTTACTCACGCAAACAAATCGATCGGGCGCTTTACGCGTTGCGTGGTCAACACAAAGATCTTTTGACTCTGCGCAGTGTTCTTAGAGAATTAGATGCTCTTATACAAATAACCGAATGCCAATTAACCGGATTTCTTACCATGGAAGTTGGCATATTTGTAGGTATAGTGCCAAGAACGAGTACGCCCACGCGTATGCAAATTGAAGCTTGCACAAGAGAAGCCGAGAAAATATCTGCCATGATTTTGGCGCAATCTCACAGAATAACTACAAATTTAATATTATCCGGACTAACTGAATCGAATATTTTGGAAGGCAATGTAGATAATAAAGCTGTTAAGGGCCTTCATAAAAATTCTAAATTAATTGCACTGATTTTGTTTATAACGTTTATAACAACTACTTATCATCACTCGTTCAAATTATAGTTTTAACAATGGTTTATCTTACTTATTTATTTATTTATTTAATTTTTTGGTTTTTTTCTTTGTTTTTTTCATTCTCCCTTCTCCTACTAAACTTGTATATATTTTTATTAAGAAAATCAAGTGAATTCTTGGTGCCAACATGTAATTATTTATAAGTTCATTTAGTTATTAGTTATTTAGAAAAGAAGTGCCTTTCGAAAATTTAATTATTATTATTATTTTTTTCTTTTTTCGTTGAGAAAACATTTTAAAACACTTTTTGCTGAGGAAATTAAAGAATGTTAACCCTAAATTATGTATTCAACTATCAATATTTAAGGATCTCTTTGTGATATTAGCAAGAAAAAATTAAAATGAAAAGAAAAAAATGAAACGGGATTTGTTAACAAATAATTACATTAAGTCTCATAGTTAGACAAACCAGTTTAATAGACTAGATTTGCATTAAAATATATACATATATTTAATTAATGTTTCAAAATTACCAAAGTTTAATTCTTTATATCCAAATATATAATACAATCAAATACTCGTAATCTGTTAAGTAACTTCCAGTAGATGTTATTTTATAAAATGATTAAAGTAATGAGAAAAGTAATAAATTATGCAATAAATTTTTCATACATATTGAAATAAAACCCACATATTGCAAATACTTTTTTTGTACCAAATCAGGCAGGAGTAAACCCCAAACTGAATATCTTATAATATTCAGTGCAAATAATACGATCTTTGATCTCTTCGGTTTGAATTGCAAATATCAATGCAACCACTTAGCTTTATTACACCCATAAAGGAGGGATGGTGGATTATACTACCAGACATATTCTAGTTGTAGACCATTGCTAGTCATAAACAAGAGTTCATGAGCGAGTTTTCTTGTCATAGCTTTTGTGATTTTGTAAAAAAATGTTGCATTTTTATTCTTATAAAGGTTAGGAAAACTATGGAGCAAATTGAAAAGCATTATATCACATTTGCCACATGTAGATTGACCTGTGCAATCTAATAATTATTACTCTCATACATCTGATACGAAAGGTAAGGCGCGAGCCTGGAAATAAACCCTTGAAAGCTTAAAATTTGTGATTTGCGATCCCTTCGGGAATAGGCATGCGTAGATGCTTTACAAAGTGCTTATGTTCTTTCCATATATTTTATATATTCCCTACAAAGCATTTATTCGTAAAAGCGCTCTATTTTCCTTTTCGACTTTCACTTGTGATTCACTGCAACATTTCATTAATTTGCTTTTATTATCCCAAGTTATGTGTACACCTGCAAATTTATTCAAAACAAAAAAACTTTCTTTCCGAACTATTAAAACCGTTAAAACGTTTTTATACATATGATTTTTACAAGAAAGTCAATTTTATACTTGATACTATTCAGCTTATGACTTAGTTATAGTTTAAGTAATAGTAAAAGCTCTGTATGCAAAAAGACGGAGGGTTTCTGTTCAAATATCTTTTGTAAAAGCTAGTGAAATGTTCCATCTTATATATGAATAATATTAGTTTGGGGAAAAAGAAATCCATTAATTTTATATGAAATTCAGGACTTTATTTAACATGCTTCGGATTGTCCGATTTGGGTCAAATATACACCGTTTTGTTGTATGATTTGTTGCCATTTTAAAGGTAACTTCAAAATGCCTCTCTCATAGAAGTCCTAGTCTCTATTTGCAAAAAACTCTAGTAGTCGATTTTCACAACCCTTCCTAGATTCCAATTCTTTATCATCAAAGAAATTTTGCAATGCAAGAAAAAGATAATAATCGCTTGGTACCAAGTCCGCACTGTATGGCGAATGCATTAAAACTTCCCAACCAAGCTCCCGAAGTTTCTGGCGAGTCACTGTAGATGTGTGTGGCCTAGCGTTGTCCTGGTGGAGCACGACACCTCTCCTGTTGGCCAATTCTGGCCGTTTCTGGTCAATCGCTATCTTCAAACGGTCCAGTTGTTGACAGTAGAGATCAGAATTTAGCGTTTGGCCATATATAAGCAACTCATAATAAATAATCCCTTTCCAGTCCCACCAAATGCATAGCAAAACCTTCTTGGCCGTTTGAGGTGCTTCACCTCTCTTTGACCACGATCGTTTTCGCACAGGGTTATCGTATGTGATCCATTTCTTATCTCCAGTCACCATCCGTTTAAGAAATGGGTCTATCTCATTCCGTTTGGCCAAGGCTTCGCAGATGGAAATTCGATCCATCATGTTTTTTTCTGTTAAGTGGTGTGGCACCCAAACATCGAGCTTCTTTTTAAATCCAGCTTTGTGTAAATGATTTAAAACTGTTTTATGGCCGATTTTTAGCTCCTGGGCGATGTTACGACTGCTAACATGCCGGTGAACTTCGATCATTTCTCCGATTTTAACGACATTTTCGACGGCCGGCCTACCTGTGCGAGGTGCACCTTTAACATCAAAAATTCCTGAACGGAATCTACGGAACCAAAATTGCACATAATTGGTTGTTACAGTATCGGAACCATAAACACCATTCACAATTTTAGCCGCCTGGCTTGCATTTTCGCCTTTGTCAAAGAAAAACTGTAAAATGTACCGAATTTTCTCTTTGTTCACTTCCATTTTTAACACGCTGTAACACACAACTGAATGCACCAAACAAAAAACAGCTAAAGAATTTTTTTTACTGCGAAATGTCACCTTTCCAACGAGCATAAATCTGAAATTGTTTGATCGATACTTTACGAGAAGATCTATCAGTGCAGCCATCTACCGAAAAAATAATGGATTTCTTTTTCCCCAAACTAATATATATTGTTACGAAAATGGCATACTTAATAATTTGAGTTTTCAGGAAAATTAGTCGATTTTCTAAGACATAATTAATATTCTAAAGAAAGGGGAAAACTGAATACCCATTCATTGCACGTTGTCGAAAACTTAGTGGAGAGGCTCGAATCAAGAGAGTTGAATTGGAGCATTCGGACGAACAAGAACAAAACGAGAATTAAAGCGTTGTAAATATAAGTTTCCGTATATAATTTGTAAATAGATTTCTTAATATTGTAAATGAAACCTAGACTATCCTAAAAATCACAATTCAGTGATACAAACTTAATTTCAAGAAGATTTACACAAATAACGTAAAATCAAAAAGACGGTTTACAATATTTTTGCACATAATAATTTTGCTGCGCATAGGTTGCCAACGAAATGTCCAGTCCAGTCTTATAATATATACAGTAAAAGCTCCTTATTAGCGGGGGATACGTTCCATAAAAATGCCGCGAATACAGAAACCGTGAATACGGAATGGTAATTTATATGGGATTATAGGGGATACGTTCCTAGGTGACAAAATAAAAAAAAATTCAAATATATAAAAAAATCAATTCAGTGCTTGCACTGATTCTTCCGCAGTCAGAGCAGGCCACCGTGTTTTCCAGCATGACCTCAATGTGTGCGGCTTCAGTTCTTCCAATGATTCTTTTGTGTTTACGATGTATTTTGCTACGTCAAATTTCTTTCTGCATCCCATAACATTCATATCAGGATTACATTCCATATTATCCAATATGATTTTGAAGGTTCGTCTAATGTAATAGAGCTTAAAGGTCTGGATTATTCCTTGGCCCATAGGTTGAAGCAAAGCCGTCGTGTTGGGAGGTAAAAATGTCACTTTCATGTTTGGATGCATAGTTTCAAGTTCGCGAGGATGACCTGGTGCATTGTCCAAAACTAGAAGTGCTTTAAAGTCTAAATTCTTTTTTTTAAAATAAGTTTCAACTTCAGAAACAAAAAATCCGCGAATAAGGAAATCTATAGCCGGGAATATGGAAATTGGGTCGCATTTTTTTCATCTGCGAATAGTGAAACCGCGAATAAAGGAAGCGCGAATAAGGAGCTTTTAATATATAATGTTTTTATATACATAAGCAGATGCACACCGCTACTTAGTCTTTGCGATTTTAATCAAAAGAGAGAAAATAGAATGTATTAAAAAATAAATTAAAGAAAAAAAATTGGTTTAACAATTTACAACAAAAAGTTTCTAAAAGTTAACATAAACTCTGTACTGAGTGAAATGTTAATACAATTCATAAGTAACATAGAGTGAAAAAACCAACTTTTTGTACCCTACCCTAATTATGCCATAGATTATATTCAGTTTGTGCGGGCCTGTGTAACATATATATTCTTGTGTTCAAGCCACAAGCCGCAATTTTTGAGATATTTATTTTGGTTTTTGGTGCACTAACGTATTTTGGGTCGAAGACGAACTCTATTAAAAATAGCTCGGAACTGCCCACTTGTTGGAACATCTATTTTAAAAAATCATATGTGAAAGAAAATGTAAAAAATTTCTCGAAAAAAATCACTGAGTAATAGTATTTCCGCATTCTTAACTGCTGTGAAAAATTTGAATCAGATTCTGCAATTTTTTGAATATCTTCTGATATAATCATTCCTGCAAAAACTGAAACTTTATGAATGGAAAGAAAACATCTAATTTTCAATATCACATGGTGAACATTGGTAATTTGACGTAGAAATCAATTTTACCTAATTTGGACCACAAAAGTCTATTTTTTGGATCCCACCGCACATAAGGATTCTTATGAAATTTTAATCCTTACACGTTAAAAAAGTTTAAATGTTAATACTTTATAATTTTGGATACAAAAATTAACCTCGTAGATCTATTTCTTGGGCCCACACCATACAAGGTTTCTCATAGAATAGTAGGCCTTATTAACAAAAAGGTTTAATGTGAAATATTTTAATAGGTCTATCTTTTTGGACTTCACCATATACAGGTGGAAATTATAAAAACGCCTTTTCCAATATCTTTTATCTTTATCCACATAAGTAGCCGATAGGTAAGAATCGCGACTACAAAGTCAGTGCGGCAGAGAATCCTTTTGTCGCCCATTCAGTAAAGACATAAAAACAATTATCGATTGGGCACACATCCAATAGATAGTGGCCACCACCTCCTTATTTCTTTCTTCCTTTCTCTTTCCTCATTTCTTTTTGGCACTTACCGCGTTACTCAAATAGGGAATATCCCTTGACTGATTAGTCTTCTTCTTCTGTGAGTCAGCAAATCAACAACACGGAATTGGGTCCTGGTACGGCAGAGCATTGATTTGTACTTTATTGCATATGAGCAATTACGAATATCAAAAGAAAAAAAGGTAGAGTAAGTCTGCAAAAATTGCATCACGTCAGTTAACGTCCTCCAATATGTGGGCTTTAGGAAAAACTATACCTTTGCATGAAAATAAGGCATCATTTTCGTTATATATTCTAGGTGAAGAAAAAGTGGCGATTTTTCACTACAAAACAAAGATATGAAAAAAATTAAATAGATCAAGGTTATAAAAGTTTAATATTTTGTTATAAGCATTTAAAATATCAGCGTTTCCACTTATGCTATTGCTTATATCGGATATATAGCACGCAAAGAATTTGGCATAAATTGATCCCATACTCTCGGTATCAATTGTGGAATGGTTCTAATAAGCTGGGAAAATGATGATCCGTCATCAACGAGGCTTTAAAAGGCATAGAATTCAAGCATTTGATATATGCTACAACTGAGATGAATACAGATTTTAGCCTCTGAAAGGCTTTTCTTAAGGGTTAAGCAATTAGTTTAACAGTTCAGGGTTAAGACTTGCTTGAATTGTAAACATATACTGTGTGTACAATCCAAGTGCTTTAAGCATACATAACTATATCAACTTCAAACTTCAAATTGCTTCAGCCTCTTTAGAGGATGAATGTCACTACACATTTTGATTTTAATATTTTATGCAAATCGTAAGTAACGGATACTGCCAAAAGAAAATAAGCAATGACGGTTAAAAACAATATAACAGCGACAATAGCAATTAAAGCTTATACAGACAAAACAGAAAAATAAGGTGAGGCAATATCCGAAGAGACCATATTGTGCGAGATTTTTTTGCTTATAATTTATCCCAACAAAAAAAATTTTAAAGCATGTATAGGTTCGACTTGAATAGTATGTATTCCATAGGTGAATTTTTCAAAAAAATATTGAAGATGTCAAAAAAGGAAGAAAGCAGCAAAATAGGAAGATGTTTAAAAAAAAAATTCTACATTAACTTAAGTTTTACCAACAAAATAACAATCCTAGCGCACCGGTTTACTTTGACGGCCGTCGTTCTCAGAATACGAAAGCAATGAAAAGCAAAAAAAATCACGTTTATTGCGCATTGATTAAAATTTATACATTAGTGTCAAGCTTAACGTCGAGCTTAGCGGTTCTTTTCAAGAGAGGTGACAAACAATAACAAATTAAACTAAATTAATTTAATTTAATTTATATGATATAAATCATATGTTTAAACAACCAGTAAATAGATACAGCGAGGACGCAATCTTAGTGGAGTTGATAGTTTCTTAACTGAAACTTAATACAGAATCAATTATGTATTTTCCATTGATCTTTACTGTTTTAGTTAGCTTCGATTTAACAGGTAAATTAAGAAACTTAATACTTCAAGCAAACAAAATGATTTTAAACATTTTACGAAAAAAAAGGAGAAATTCGGTAAGGAGGTAATTTTGTAACAAATTATTTGGAAACTACGAACAATATAACGAAATAAGCGAAAAATATTAAAAATTAGTAGAAAGTTCTACAAAATCGCTTTTTTTGCTTTATTATATAAAAAGTTATGCGAATTTTATCAGAAATATTAAAACTTTACTTATTAAGCCTTCGCCACCAAACCACCTCGTTGGGATGCTACATATATTACCAAAGGCACTCTTTATATTCCGTATGCCGAAATCGCTGAACCATTTTTCGCTTGGTATGATAAAAATACGCGACGATCACGTATTGATTACTATGACGGTATGGTGAAAACTTATCAGTTGGCTGGTGAAGACCAGTATGGCACCTCTTTAAAATTAGCTCCAGTTACCAATAAAAATCAATTAAATAAAGTAACTTGTCTTCAATTGAATGGAACTGCCGATAATCGTATTCAAATACAGTCCGTATTACCGAACGCAACAGATTTTCAATTAGTGGGCACGGAAACTTTTTTAGGACTTGTTTGTGATAAATTCCGTTTAGAAGAGACGATAGAACAAAAAAAGAATGTCTATACTTTATGGGTGCGCTACAAAAAGTCACCTCACTATCCCGGCTCTCGTATGCCTATACCCGTGCGCTACGAAATGCGTGGTTACAATACTTTATTGGGTTCTCATTATGATCATTACTATCTGGATTATGATGGTTATGAGCACGATGATATTCCAAACGTAATATTTGAATTGGATCCCGGTAAGCAGTCGAGTCATTAAACTCCATTTCTCATTGGAACCCATGTTTTTCTTAGATATGGAATGCGAGGGTTTTCCAGGTCCTGGGAAAGGTCACTACGCAACTTTTAATCCAATGGAAGAATTTATCCATCCCGCTACACAACATCATGTAGATCATGCATTCAACCACTATAAGAATAAACACAATATCAAATATCAGACAGAGGAAGAACATGAATATCGTAAAAATGTATTTAGACAAAATTTACGTTTTATACAATCAAAGAGCAGAGCTCAACTCAATTACGCCTTGGCTATCAATCATTTAGCTGACAAAACAGACGAGGAGCTAAAAGCCTTGCGAGGTTTTCGATCAACAGGCGTTTACAATACGGGTAAACCTTTTCCTTACGATGTAAGTAAACTAAAGGATCAAATACCAGACCAATACGATTGGCGTTTATATGGAGCTGTAACACCAGTCAAAGGTGATTTTTTTGAAAGCGAAGAATTCAATAAGAACATTTTCATTTCCCAGATCAATCTGTTTGCGGATCCTGCTGGTCGTTCGGTACTATTGGGCACGTTGAAGGAGCTTATTTTCTGAAGAATGGTGGAAATTTGGTGCGTTTATCACAACAGGCTCTAATCGATTGCTCTTGGGAATACGGTAACAACGGTTGTGATGGCGGCGAAGATTTCCGTAGCTATCAATGGATGATGCAAATGGGCGGGGTTCCTACGGAAGAAGAATACGGTCCATATTTAGGGCAAGATGGCTATTGCCATGCTCAAAATGCTACATTAGTCGCTCCTATTAAAGGATTTGTTAATGTCACCTCCAATGATCCGGATGCCTTTAAAATTGCTTTACTCAACCATGGTCCGTTGTCAGTAGCCATCGACGCTTCTCCCAAATCTTTCAGTTTCTATTCTCACGGCGTTTATTATGAGCCTAGTTGTAAAAACGGCATAGACAATTTAGATCATGCTGTGCTGGCAGTCGGCTACGGTAAAATGAAAGGCGAACACTATTGGCTGATCAAAAATTCTTGGTCTACTTATTGGGGTAACGATGGCTACGTTTTAATGTCAGCGCGCGAAAATAACTGCGGCGTTATGACTACACCTACTTTTGTGGAAATGTAAACGGTGAATTTGAGAATCATACGCACGCCATGCACTCAATCATATTTATTCGCTAAAAAGCTTTACTTTGATAACTTTACCTTTTCATTAATTATATAAATAAAAATATCTAAATGAAAGAAACCTTTTCAAACCAATAATTTTGATTTAACGTACAGTCAAATTATAAAGATTTTACCACTATTCTTAAAGAAAACTCTTATAGAAAAAGGAAACAATAAATCTCCGAGAAGTAGAATAAAAAAATTTGCAAGCTTGCCATTTTGAATTGATATTTTGAAACATATGTGACTATGATCACTTTTTCCGGGGTTGTTGAACTTTTCAAGTGCTTGAATTTCGAAAGCCTTGAAACGTGTGCTAAAGAATATTCTTTATGTCGTACGTATTAATCGTATCGCGTCCGTGCTTTCCTTCAAGAAACTATTTAAACCTGCGAAAGATTGCAGTTATACTAAAGTAAATGAAAGCATTACGTGCAACGCACTTATTTTACACTGCATTTCAATTAAATGGTAATTAAAATGAGACAGTACTATCGACACGGATATAATAATGTGCATGATTTCAGAAATCGTCGTATTATGACAGAAATACTTAGGAACCTATCTATGATACTACCAATGTAATCTTGAAGTGATGACTAGGAATGGTTTTTATCTATATTCCATTACCATTATTTTTCTGCAGGCTTGACCTACTTTTGTTGTAATTGATTTTTTACAATTTATATATTTATAGAATATTTACAAAAGATGTTGTTTCTTTTTCTGTCATTAAGTATATTTTTTTGAAATTCATTACATTGCTATATATATAATCTTATCACTTGTTTTGACATATGCATCAGTTGACTGTTGATAACCCTTACACTAAAGTTCACCGAATTGTTTATTATTATTGCATTTAGCGCAAACATGAAAATAATTTCATAAACTTTACAAACATAAAAGGAATATGGACGGCAGCACATATGGTAAATATACAAAGATCAGCTGATGAACGACATTGTTTACGATTACACCGGTATAAGCCCAAAGGCAGATACTTTTATATCTCTGGTAAAGTAAAAGCAGAAAGCGCAGGCGAGATTGGTATATAACGACATTAATTTAGGCCTACTTATTTTCGGAAAACTATGCAACGCACGAGCAAGCATATCAAAAGAAAAAAAAAACTAATAATGTTGATTAATGTGATCTATTACACTTTTGGATCTAGGCAAAGACAGGAAGACATGGACTAATTACGGAGCAGAAATCATTACAAAACTTTAGGAAGTTTTTGGAGAGAGCAAACAAAAAATATTGATTCCATCGTTTACAAAGCATTAATGTTTAACAAACTTATAAACTGGGGCCTATTTATAGTCCCCGATATCAATTAAACACGGTAGTAATTTTTGGGTAAAGTTTGCGTAAAGTTCTCAATTATCGAGCAACGAACAATCGATAGAGTATACGTTCTTCTTACTATCGACAATAAAATTGTTGTCGAGTAAAACGTATGAAACCCACTTATTTACTATAATTAATAGATATAACATAAAGGCTACCAGTCTACTTAATCGTATTAATGGCGGAAATTCCAAAATGTTGGAAAAAACAGATTATTTTATATAATAAAAAGATATCTGGAAGAATGAAAAAAAAGTTTAACTAAACATAAGATAAGGTATTCATCTTAATTCATTAAAGATTGTTTAATTCGGTTTCTAGTTTTTCTTCAATTGTTTTTAAATTGCTGCCAATTCTTTTTAAGTTTTTTCTGGATTGGTTTATGTTCTATCATTGCAAATGCTGTGCAAAGCCGTACAAGCGTTCATAAATTTTATTTTTCCATTTAACAAGAAAGTAACAGCCCCTATTTTCATTCCATAAAATTTTCCAACTGTTATTTTAAAGTCTGCTCTCGGTTCGAATCTATTGTTCTTTATTTAGATAGCTGCTTGACAAATATTCCCTTGTTTATAACTCGATTGAAACACTTTTCTCGACTGGACAGCATTACTATCGAGGATGACATGTCAAAAAATATTCTTGGCTTTAGGCCATTTTTCTTTTAACTTGTGCTGAAGAAGTTTCTCATTCATGACGTACACACGAAGGAATGGCGCTTTCCAAGAATACGATGTTTATTGCATGGATTGTACCTTTGAAAACTACGAAGTCAAATTGGATTCTTCACGATAAATAGCGCAATTATTGTGCTGAATATAATTGTTGCGTTATGCGTAGCATGCGAATTGGTAAGAATAAATTATATGCTGCATGTGCCGTCTTTGATAGACAAAATAACTGTGGTTGTGAAAAAAAAAACAAAGTCATGTGGTTTATATTTCTGCCTTTGAAATCGATATATGCATTTTTATTATTTAGCAAAGACAAAGAAAAAAACATTAAACTAAATTAAGTGAATTGAGAAAAGAAGAAAAGTTAAAAAATATAAAAATAAAAGTTAATTAGTTAAAAAAAAGATCGAAGAGCACTTAACCAACGCAATTTCAAAAGGCAAGAAATGCACAATAAACGTTTCCCAGGCTTTTGAAATATATTTTTTTTTTTTTGGTATGTTGAATGGAGATGGGCTTTTGAAATAAAGGCTAAAAGAAAATGACTGGGAAGCCATATCCACGGAAGTCGACTTGTACACTAAATACAATATAGAAATTTACAAAATGTTTGAAGCCTTTTTTTTTTACTTGAAAAGTGCAAAGTGCGGTGGAGATCACTGAAAGGTCGCCTTACCATGAACTACCATAAGAAGGCAGATTCAGGTAGTGCTAATGTTCATGAAAGCATTAAATAGAAATTCTGCAAAGCGTTGTCGTTTTTAGGAGATTTCATAGTCTCTAATTGGTAAGTATGACTTATGATGAGTATTACAGAGACTTTGTTTTTTTGTAGGATTGAAACAAAATTGGACCAATAAAATCGAATCGATAGTAAGATTGGTTGAAAGAGCAACACCCGCTACTGACGAATTTTCTGAACCCAGCGCAGTTGGTTGTGGAATATGTAAGAAGATTTGGCTCTAGAAAGGATGTAGATGGCAAATGTTTGAAATTAATGTTGAAACTTGCTGATTAAATGAAAAAAAATCGGAAGGGAAGAAAGACAGGATGAAGATCAATTCGACAAGTCTGTGCGCCATGCGTGTCGACAAGGCTGCTTATTTTCTATAACGGCAGTCCATAATTTGTGCCCATAATCGCCTTTCCAGCTCAGTCATGTCAGAATCTCCTTCTGCATCTGGAATAAGCACGATGATCTTGCTATATTATTACCCTAGTCATAGTAGCAAAATTCCCGCTATTCAACTTTCGTTGTAGCTCAAATGTTTCATTATAAATCTAGAAACGCAGTGATACTAGTTACAAATACTATACTATTAATTATTGTATGGACTTACAAGGAATAATTAAAATTGTCTTCTGTTCTTTAAAGCCCTTTTTTTTCTTTTCTTTCGTCTTTTGCTTTAAAAAATTACTTTTTATAGAAATTTGTCATTTTATTAATTTTACAATTCTTCATTAAAGTTTATGTAAGCAAACATATGATTTTGCTTTAGCAACGCACACGAGCTGTGTTCAATTGATTTTGCGTTTTGAGTTGTGCGGCAAAATTAAGAACCATAGACCAACTGCTAATTATAAGAGCAAGCAGAAAACCGCTGAAGTTCTTATTTCTCATGACCATTTCTCATCACTGCTATACTCGCCTTAAGTTTCCTTATGTGGCCCCTTTTTGAAATTAGTGAACGAAAAGAGTAACGATTTCAAATTTCTGAATGTTTCGCTAGACGTTGCGAGACATAAATAACAGATATTTTGAAAAGCGTTAACACAGGAGGCCAGGTATTTGAAAAAAATGAAAAAGTGTCAAATCATACATACATTTCATCCCTTCTAGCATTTAAGAGTCATTAATTTGGGTAAGCTGAAGTCCTTTTTTTTTTTTTTTTTTTTTTTTTTTTTGGTATGTTGAACAGAGGACAGCTGAAGTCAAAACCATAATTTCTGCATTGTATGAGCATGACGTAAACAGTCGCTTTCGTTGTATCAACATAAAAGTAGACTTAAATGTCATATTTAAATCTTTCCTAAATTTTATCACCACATTAAAATTTATTTTTTTTACTATGGTAACCCAGCTGTCTTAGCATTTGTTTAATTTTTCTTTTTTTCGTTTTCGTTTTGTCGTCAAATTATCTGTTAAAAAAAAGTTGAAAAGATGAATGAAAAAGCAACCACAGTTGTTAAAAAACGTATACTAATAAGTAAGGAGTACAAAACTATATGTGACTTCATTGATCAATTTGAGGGCTTAGCTATCGATTGCGAGATCGCTTTATTACAAAAATTTCCTTCTATTGAAAGTCTAACATTAAAAGCAATTTTACAAGTACAAGTAACCACACATATTAAAGCACTGCGCTGGCGCCATGAATCCCGAACTTTGAAGTACGTAGATATGTAAGTCATAAAGTTACTTCAAAATTTGTGATTATATTAATGTAAGCCTCTTCAGATACAACAAATGTAGTTCTAATAGCAAAGATTCAGACATTCTTTTAAAGATTGCGAGAGAACATCGTGTTGGTCCAGTAACCTTGTGTCGTTATATTTTAAAATTTAAATATGAAATGAAAAATAAAGCAGAAATCGCGCATCTCCTGAAATACCCCCAACTCATCGAAGATCAACAATTATCAGCCAACATAATTCAATGTATGTGCAGCGACAACCAAGATGGACCTCTAGTAGATTTGAAACGTCGTATTTTAGGAGAAGAATATGAATTTAAGGCAAATGAAAAAGACTTTAAAATGTAAGGAAAAAGGAAAACAAAATCTTCTTTTTTTGATTAGCTAAAAGATTTGGCCACTAAGGCTGGCATGCATTTCCATGATGAAAATGAACTGAGACGTTTGGGCTATGACAAAACGCCTGATCTCAAAATGATATTACCATTTCTTTTCCGGGGAGAAGTGATTAATTGGATTGAGAGCAAAGCAGGTTTCGGAGACATTAAATCACATAGATATTACACTCAACAACAATACCAAAGTTATTGTAATAGGTAAAAAGAAATTCATGCTGTTGGTTAAAATATATCCTGAATAATGTTATTAAACTTGTGATAACAGATTTGGTCCAGGCATTGTGATCTATTGGATGGGATATCAAGAGGAAACGGCTACGCTGCCTGACAATGATGACGGTATCATAGTTTTAGACGACTTTCCTCGTTTAGAGGATCTAGAACTTCTGGATTTATCGAAAACAATGCAACACTTGGACAATGTTAACGTTTGTTGAATGGAGATGTTTTTTAAGATTATTGTAAATGTATTTAATTCATTTTAATTCAATTGATTTCCCATAGAGATACAAACATTTCCGCTTGCTTTTGTGGTAGTAAAAATGAATTATATTTTGCACAGTTTTTTGTGTTGATAAATTAAACAAATTTGTCATACCGCATAAACTCTAACATAATCCACCTCCAAAATAGGATGAGACCAAGTAGGTATCCATTCACCTCTTTGTTCCCAGAATTTTAATTGTGCTAATGGTGCAGTATTTTGCCAGGGTTTCTGCACATCATTAGGAAAATCACCATGGCCACCAGCACCCAAGCCCAACGTTATGTAGAACTAAACATACAGTTATTCTTTAACAAATAGTTCTTGTTTTCAAATATTTAAACATACGAATTTGTCAAGGGGGGCATTTTTTGCACCCCTCTTCCATATCGATTTATTATAGATAGGCGAAAAATTGCATTCCACTCTTCCATACTCATGTCCGTCTACATTTAATATCAACTCATCAGGAGTCCAAGTCAAGGAATAAATATGGAAAGCTCCGCCGAAATTTTGTTGCCGATCAGTAATGGTGTTGATAGCGACATTAACCATAGATTGGTGCCGAAATTCAATAGCTTCTGTTAACACCACTCCGCCATATAAACGCGCATTGCCAATATCAGAACCATGCCATTGTAATTCGCGATTACCGCGAGTAAAGGCAATGCGCATTTGGCCATAATCGTAGTGCATGTTGTATTCAACATTATTTGGCTCCAGTAATAGCACTGAAATATTGGAAAATTAAGAGACGTAATTGTTTCCAAAAGCAGGCTGACTTAACTTACGTGGATATAGCCAATCACCTAGTGGAACTTTGGCTCTTATCTCAACGCGCCCATATTTAAAATAAAAATTATTTTTTGTATTTATACGTCCAGAAATTACAGGCGGTAAAATGCTGCGAAATCTGTTGGCAGTAGCGCACTCTTTATGAGTCAAACTGCCAGTACATCTGAAAAAAAGTATATAGAAATAAATTTAATTTTTAAAAAACAATTTTCCATACTTGTTTCTCTTGAAAGGATACGCTCCAATTTTTTCATATTCTTTGAAAGGAAGATTTTGGTAGAATAACTGGAGAAACCAACGCAAATTTTACAACACTTTTGGCAATAACTTTGGACCCATTGCTAAGATGCGAACGCAATATATTTTATTTATTTTTTTTTTTTGCATATTACACTCTACAAATATAGTATTAGGTTAGGAATTCGCTGAGACTCTTGACCTGTTTAGCGTGAATAACTGAACCGATCTAACCAATTCTATACGTCTACAGAAGTAAACTATATTCAAAATTTATCTTCTAATCTTTAATACGAAACTAATTAAGTTGTATAGTAAAAAAAATAATTGTACTTTTTCGAGACTACAGTATTGACACGCAATTCTAGAAGAACCGCATATAATGAGGAAAACAGAGTGTATCGCACTTTTAATGATTTCAAATTATGTCTTCTTCTTTTGCAAGTCAGTAAATCAACAACATAACATTCGCTGCCTTGCGTAAGAAATTTTCAATGCGAGCATGAAGTTCTTTGTTTGCACCACAATTATTATTATTCGAACTTCTGCCTTTGCTTCTCTCTCTTTCACGGATTTACCAAAATTGCAAAAATCGAATAAATAATAAAAAAATTAAAGATTCCAAATTATATAAATGTAGTTAAGAATTCGGGCAAGGCCGAGTATTGGTATTCAAAATATAGGCGTACGTGGTCGAAACGTGGTAAGGTTCATTTCTAAGGTTGATTACTATTATTTACTAATTTTCACAATGAAATATTCAAAATTATTCTTTTTTACTGTACAAATAATCAGTTTTCGTATTAACGGTTATATGAGAGAGGGTTCAAAAAATTTCCTTAGCCGAATCAATTTTTCATATCAATTAAGAGTGTCCAAATACTATTACAGCTTGAGTTTTGTTAGGAAATTTTTTTGAAAATTTCAATTCTTTCCCATATAACGTCTTTTCAAAATAGGGCGTTATATGTGCAGTGAAGCCGAAAAAGCGGACCGATCCAAACCATTTTCAATAGCATTCGTCCTATGGTCATAGCAGGTCCATGTACTAAATTTCACAAAATATCTCGAAGGTTGCGGCCTGTAGCTTCAACACAAATTTACATTAGCACACATTAGACGAACAGACAAGTAAGTCTATTTTAAGATCTTCTGCATGTTACATCTGGCCGCACAAACTTAATACACCTTGTACCATAAGTGTTGTAAAGTGTAATTATGATTTCAAATATTATCTATTCCATTATAAAGCCAGTATGAAGGACGCATGCGATCCAGTTATAGGGGACATTCAGCAATTCTAACGCAGAAATATTTCAGAGTTATCAGTCTGAAACCTTATAACTAAGCATAAATGCTGTTCGATCTGTGAGCAGTCACTTTTTACATATGATGCAATAAAACGCTTTAGCAGTAATTGCTTAGACAGATTAAGGTTGCACCATACTTTAGCCGTAAATTTATTAAATGGTACTTATGAAACCAGAAGACTGGAAAGACACCACATGTTAGATTTCCCTTTCATATAGATACATTACTGATAATCTTAATGTATACTCAAATGTATACTGAAGTCAAAAATTGAACTAGTATGTATTTGTTAATTTCGTTGAAATCTAAGCCGATAATTAATTTGCTAAATATTTAATTGTAAATAGATTGCAAATGGGCATATTTCGAAAAAAATAAAAGATTATTTCATAGTAAATTATATCGAATTTAGTGGATTTAGTGTCACTATATTCTAACCATATAGACGCGGTAGAATCATTACAAGTCTCTTTCTTAAGATTGCTTCTAATAAAAGTCAGCGGTATGTATTAAAATATTCGGTAAAACCTAAACTAAACTTTTTCTTTCACTTAAATTTTAGCAAACGAGAAGAAGAATTCGCTCTTGAATATGACCTCTTCGTTTCATTTGTCGGTTTTTAATATTATGCGAAAATTTCTAGATAACCGAAGTATTGAATTCTATTGTCAAGACCACGAGAAAAACGTGAATGAATCTCATTAACATTGGATTTTTTCGCACGACAAAAAATAAGCGTTTGTTAAACCTAGTCATTAGTCCAAACGTCAAAATTTATTTTATTAGTTTATACAACTGGGAAATACAGATTTAAAAATAAAAGAAACGATCGAAACATAATTTCAGTAGACAAGAAAATTAAATAACTTCAGCAACTCAAAAAAACATAGCGTCATTAATATTGGATTTTTCCCATATAAGAGGGAGAGGAAGATAAAAAGCAGCATATTATTAAGAATTAATATTTGGTGGCGTATTCTTTTTATTTAACAACGTCATTTAAAAGTTTTGAGCTATTTTTTATAATTTTTCTTATGTGAGAAACAGTCATCTTACTCCATTCCTCTTATAATCTGCTCTTCAGATTTTAGACGGAAGGATTGAGTATTTTCACCCAATTCAATTCACTCTATATATTTTTGACGGGCTCCAATGCTTGGTGACTTGTGGAAGATAGTGAACCATTTTGGGTCAGTTATATAAGAGCCGCTTTTTGCAAGGACGAACATTGAAATTGGATGGAAGTAGACATTTGTTCTTTTCGTATTTACAATATCATTAGATTACAAGTACATCAAGAATACTAAAAAGTGTTTATGTATATGCGTATAATATATGCGTATAATATTATTGTAAATAATATATTTGTATATATATTATTTAAAAATCCAGCAGACATTTCTCATCATTACGATTCGATCAAGAAAATTAATTCGCAAAATACCATTTTTGTATTTAAAACAAAGAATTAAGCAAAAAATTAATTATTTACAAAAATGACGAACCGTCTGTAAACGTAATTGAAAAAGGTGAGTATGGCAATGACTTTTATTGGACGTAAAGAGGGAAGAGTGGGATGCATGCTAACAAACATACGAGAATCGGTGCATATATTTTATAATTTCCTATTACGTACTTTGAATTACTTAATACATTTCGTGAGATCAGGGCTTTTTTAAAAAATTTCTATTATTAGCTCTTACCTTTCTTCCAAATCGATGGCACCGTTCCGTATATCGGCCGGATTAAGACGTGCCGTAATCTTTAATATACCGGAATCAATTACGAAAGAGTTATTGTAAATCACAAACTCTGAATCATCAGCCTCACGAGGCATTCGCACCTCGGGATTCCAATTATTATAGAGTAGTACATCAAAATTATCCTCAAATATTAAATCATCACGGCACAAATTTTTTTTGGTAACGGGAAGTTCTGTAATGGTAGGTTGGCAGCCTTGATTTTTGTTTTGAGTTGCCGATGGCGGTTTTGGCGGCGATGGGGGCGGTGATCGTGTACTGCTAGTAGTTTGCAATTGCTCCATCTCAGGAGGTAGGGATGATGCTTGCCCGTTAATTATATAAATAGGGCTGATACGGTTGCGATAAATAAGATTTTCAAACTGTACACCGACCCAAACATGGACAACATCATTGTTCCGCAGTTTGCGTTTAACTTCGAACCCCCACGCATCATTTGCGGCCGCGAGAACACCCGCTGTATACTGGCCAGCCTCGAAATTTTTAAATTCTCGATTAACATTGACATTAAAACCAACAAATTTGATACCTGGCTCATCTGTAATTCATTCAATGACACATTAATTACTTTTAAAAAGCAAGGGCGTTGGTGTTGTTCAATAATTTACCAGGCAATGAAACGCGGAAGCTGTCTTCTAATAAATGCACGTTTACATCTTTGATAGTGAAACCTTGACAGTGGCCCGAAAAGATTACATTATACAAAGAAAGTAACAACAGCAACAACTTTACAAACCAGTTCATATTGCAATTAGATTATTAATGAGAGAAAAATTAAATAAAAATAAAAGCGAATATAAGAATTTCAATCAACTGACTGCAAATGCTACGCGTTTGTCAGTTATTCAGCAACTGAAGAGAATTTTCTTAAGTTTGATTGATTTTCACAAGTATATAAGAATTTTTGCGAAATTAATGTAATTGCTGACTACAGGGAATCCCCCCGTTGACCCATATGGAGAGGCAATTTGATTGCAATGCTTTTTAATCGCATTCTGATGACTAGAGATAGGTAAACATTTCTAACGTTATCAAACAAGTTATGAGAAACCATAAAAAGTGGTTTTTCCCTAAATAACAAAACTCTTATTCTCATTTCTCACATGCTATGTTCTAAGAAAGAAGAGGACGTTTTTACCGCATTTCATTGAGAGTATTGAACACTGGAACTCAAGCAAATTCATTTTTCAGCAGATTTCGCGTGTCACTTTCATTACTCTGTATTTTACTTTACATTATTACTCGAAAGTATCAAGATTGAAAAACTAATATGTTGGATTTTCTGTAATCGACGACAAAGAACATTACATTAGTTTTGTCGCATGCTCGTAAAGCATAAAAATTTGTGTGAAAGGGTCTGTAGAATGAATATAGTCTTAATCAATGTGAATAAAGGAATTGTTTCTATTTGCCTCTCTTAAATCTCTTAAATTGCAAATACGATCTCGAAAGTGCAAACTTAATTTCCAAATTATTTTTTTCTTGCTGCCTCTTGAGGTAAGTTAAAAAAACATACCAATTATCGAATTAGTCGAACTATTCATTTTTCGTCCACAATAATTTAAAACTATGCACCCTATTCTCAATACTTTACAACAATCTATTCAATGCGTTTATGACAAGTACGCTTGGCATTCGGGTTTTAAGGTTGGCTAAGTTGAGGGTTCGAATTATAGTAAGTACGTTGCTTTAAGCGTTTGCAGAGACATGAGCTTAGAAGTTAAGGTAATTGTTAGCACAAGCATTCTTAGTGGATCATACGAAGTTCTGAATGGCCCTAATTCGAACAGAAACTGTTTGCTATTATAACAAAGAAGATACAAATTTCAATATTAAGTACGTATTGGTATAGTACAATATGTATATATATATTCTTGAACGACTATAATTATAAAACAACTTTATAATTTGTTATATTAGCTTAAATCAAAACGATTGTACAGTAGAGGCCGCGGAAGTGATCATTGCCTTCTCCAGCAGCAAGCTCTCCCTAATACTGCATAAGAGTCATAGAATCCATGATTTATTCGAGTAAACCAATACGTAACTCCGAGGTAAAAAGTCCAATAGTGTTATATCCATCGCATGATTTCGTTGGCGAGCTCACGTAGGTATTTTTGAAAATTACACGATCATTGAACTTTTCCTCCCATAAACTGATTTCGTCACAAAATATATAACATGTTGCACCACTTTGTTGAAATCACATATTGTCCAAGTCGAAATCATCTAACTCGTGCCACAAAGAATCACTTACCATCTTTCTCTGGCGTTCTCCATTGATTGTAACCACAATGCCACGTTTGTGTTTAAAAATAACATTTTCGGTTCACAAATCACATCCAAAAGTTATTTTTGTACGAACAAGCGTTTTGAGAACACTAGATAGGTTTTTTTTACAGGAAAGAGGCAATAATCCTTATTTAGGGTAATACATAACGGTGGGTTCATTGTTAAACTGTAACAATTCCTTTACGCTTTATAACTCTGTATGTGTTGTAATCGACAAGTAACGACAAGGTCCAAAATATATATTGGAAAAATATATGATCAAAATTTCAACCGGATGTGTGTTTTATTTATGTTTACTTTCGAAACCACAAAATAGACGAACCTACAGCCTTGGTAAACAACAACATTGCATATATGAGTATTAAGAGGGTGGTCATTGTTGAACTCTACATTAATCACTCATTACAATTATTACCACCGGGAGGACGATCTGGGGTTATAATTACTTGACAGCAATTTTAGAGGTAAATTGATATGAACAGATTTTAACTGAACCCTGCGCATAATTTACAAATCCTGCCACAATAAAATAAAAGGTTGCGTGTCAATCTGCAAAAACGCATTGGTTTCCCCCTTCTTTAAGAAGTCAAAACTGTTATGGAACAACCTTCCTATTAACGACATTTTACTTACCTGAAGTAAAATACTGGTTAGGGCCGTTTAATTTGCAAAGCCCTTGCCTGGGACACTCCTGTGGAAAATTCGATCGAAGAGGGAAGATGATATGTTTATCTTGTTTATCTTGCACCACCTCCCCATCTCAATCTGTAGCGGCTCTGGTTGAGATGAAAACAGCTAAGCAACATTCGAAAAGTGAATAGTCCACGAAACAAATGACAATAAGAAGTAGCGAACTATGTACGCCAATTCTTTTCCATTTCTGAAATATTATTCATCAACACGTTGCTCCCTCGCGTAATCCTCCATTTTTCTAACCCCAAAGTGTCAGCTGTTCAACTGTCTTTTTTTTGGGTTGCCAACACTTCACCGCACAATTGGCGGTAGTTTAAATTTTGCGCAAAATGTGGGACACCCTATAGCGATAATAAAGCAAAGCGAACAAGAAAAAAATAACATGTAACAAACTATGATAATTAATTGAAAAAAGGAAAATTTAAGATAAAATTTATCGTCGGTTTATCTCAAAAATTCGAATAACTTAGTGTTTTGTGAAACGCTAGAATTAACTTCGAATATTAAATAATTACTGTTCAGAGAATTTTTAAAACACTCGACTGGTAATTTGACCATGAGAAGTAAAATATTAACGGGGTGCTGTCTTCAGCCGTATGTTTTGATTGTTTCTCACATAACTTTGATCCTAGTATTTTAATTGCAAATGTACAATTTCAGTTTTTGTTTCCATATTTTTCACTGAAAATAAATTACCCTCTCGTGTTTTTCCTCACCAATCAATTGTCTCGAATCCGTTAATTCATTTCCCTATAGCAACGCTTATTTCTTGCAAAAATTTGTTGCTAAAACATGCATGTTTCCATGTAACTATATTTTGTTATGGAGTAGCTCAAAACAATTGATATATTTTCCTTACCTGATATGTTGGTACGTTTACGGTATATGGCATTTTGTTAATCAAAAAAATGTTGTGCTCTCGAACGATTTTTTAATTCGAAGTTCTGTGTGTCTGAGCCGAAGTCTTTATCGAAGCGAAGAGATTTATTTTTTCAAAGCTAATCCCTGATATATATATATATATATATATATATATATATTGATTTATTTGTATTTATATATATATATATATATATATATTTTAATAAATTTACATATTTATATATACACACGTGTATATATATTAAAAAACAGAAACATATATTTTTATATTTCTGATTCTTTTCCGAATTTCCATAACATTAATCGACGAAGCACAATGCCGTGCTTTTCAGCATGCCCTAGGCGTGTACAGAAACACATACAAGAACAAGAACCGGTCGGTCGTGCAAAGACAGCCGAGCGCAGCGTCTCTGATATTAATGTGCCGAAATATGTCTGCAAGAAGCCCAGTCAGCAGCTTAAATGTCATAATGTGTTTTACACGCAATCTCTTCTGCCTAGAGAAGTACGTGTAAGCGTTCCGCGTAAAGTACAACTACCACGCAAAGAACTGGAACGATTAAAAGGCGCTTCGAAGGTTGTCACATTAGAGGATCGCCTAGACGATTTAATGAAAAAGGAGAAGGAAATGAAGCGATTGGAAGAAGAAGCTGAACGGACTCGAGAACGTTTCAAGAAAATCGACGATGCTCGCAAAAAGAAGGCTGAAGAAATTGCTTTGGTCCAGAAAGGAGAGCAGGTTCAAGGTAAATTGCAGGTTTTAGAAAAAGCTTTTCTAGCTAAACACGAACAAGAAGAAGAGGTGAAAAAGGTAAATCGCATTATACTCGACGCCAAATGCCACGCGGTCCGCGATGCCCAAATTCAAGAAAAGAGTAAATTATTTAAAGAGCTACGAAGAGAAGAAATACGTTTAGAGCAACAGGTCATAGAAAGAGCTATGAAATCACTCAATGCCGAAGATGATCAATTCGATAAGAAACAAGAGGCAAAACAAAAATACGCAGAAGAAATAAAGAAGCAATTACTTGAACGGGAAAATCAACGTTTCCTTGAGGCTGAACGCATAGAAAAAGAGGCAAAAATGCTGCGTGAAATCAACGAAGCTTTTAAACGTGACGAAGAGCGGCAACAACAATTATCTAAAGAGAGGCGTTTGAAATTTCGCGACGAATTGGCCCAAGTGGTGGAAATGTCTAACGTTTTCAAACGTATGTTATGTGAGCAAGAGAGAACTACAGAAATGAAAATAGCGGCCTATATGCGGGAAAAGGATGAGCGGTTGCGGTCTTTAGCCCACGAAAAAAAATTGCAGAAACAAGAACATGATCGCAAACATCAGCGCCTTTTTAATTTGGCTCAAAAAGCACTTGAGTCGCGTTCACAACGTGACGAGATTACCTATCTTAGACAAAGGGAACATTTAGAGAGAGAATACCGTCAAAAAGAAAAGGAAGCCGCAATGAAAAAACGACAAATCGAAAAAGAATTAAGCGATGCCCGCGAACATCAACTGCAAGAAACTAAGCATCGGCAAGCACTTCAAATTGCTCGTGCCGAACAAGATTTTAATGTATTAGTTGAACGTTTAAAGAAAGAGGAGGAAGAAGACCGGAAACTCGACATAGAAAGGCAACGGAAACGCAATTGTTATCGAACAGATATAATACGGCAAATGGGTGATAAAGAAATGGAGCGACGACGATTGCTGGACTTAGAACGTAGCGAAGCTTCAGCTTGGCGTGAACGTGAACGACAACGTGATGCCAACATTAAGGCCGTCATCAATGCTAAATTAGCAGCTATGCGTGATGCTTGTCTACCCGAGAAGTATATCAAAGATGTAGAAACGCAGTTACAGCGGATTACCAATACCCAACGCCAGAAGCTGACAAAATAGATAAATTAATATTTGATTAAGTATGGTAATTATTATTTTCAACTAAGAATTATTATTTTTTAAATAATTAGTAATCATAAGGAGGGCGAATTAGAACGAGGCAACAAGCATTTTTTGCATAATTAAAAAAAAGGGAAATGCACAATTTCTGTAGTTAACGGAGCTACCTGCTGACAGAAATTGTATTAATTTCTCATGTATTGCAACTTTACTTTGATTGCGCCCGAATGATCTCTCTCTTTCTCTTTCTCTCTCTCTCTCTCTCTCTCTCTCTCTATGTCATTGTATTCTCTACTCATCATTGTTCAATTTCATTTGACCTTATGACCTACAAAAAAAAAAATAATGGCATTTAATTTTATTATCTATATAAATCTAGTAATAGCATCGAATCATTATTGCACTAACTTTTCTTAAGTATGAAATTTTGACTATTTACGGATATTGATTTAATTAATGAGCAAACACAAAAACTAAAGGCGTGTGTTCTAAACCGAGAAAATACGTTTGTGCGTTGTGCTCTCTCTCAGTGAAAATGTTCACATCCATTCTTTTATTTTATATAAAATAAATTTTCTGTTTCTGAACTAAAGCCGCTTTTGAATATCATTTGGTTGTAAAGCGATCGATTATTTATTCTTTCTCCGTAAGGAAAGTAAGTTTGCCAAACTATTATTATACCAACCACTGTAAGATGCAAATATACTCATTTTGTTTTTTTCAATAATGTATGTAACACCCAAAAGGAAGTTTCAGAGGTCCTACAAAGTAAATATATTCTTAATGGGGATGAAATTATGAATTGTATTTTGTTGTAATTTTGTCGATATCCTCTATGTTATTGAATTCTTTTCAATTTATTCTTCAATACTTTTTTAAAAACTTCTAGGTGAACAGTTTTTGGAAAAAAGAAATGTTAAAGAAATTTTCCTCATATTATTCTTTTTCCATTCTTACAAAAATATGAAGGCTAAACGAGCGCTGTTGAAGCTGTCGACTTCAAATTTGGCAAAAACATTGGAAGTTTCGCTAGGCTGGTTGGTATTGAAAATGGGCCATATTGGTCAAAGCAGATGCAAGCAGTGAAGCGTAAACTAAACGCAACTCCGTTTCTTTAACAAAAATTTTTGGATTTTTGCCTATTACTCGGCAATAATTAAAGTAAGAAGGCTGAAATTTTCCATATTTACTTCAAGAAATACTTTACTCCTCCGTCCAAAAATGGAAACAATCGGCCATGTTCACGCAAAGTTACGAGTAATGAAATTCAATTTTCTTCACTTTTTCAAGCTTTTATGCTTAGTTAACATAAGGCAAACACAAATGAAGATATATTATCTGCCCAAAAATGGGTTAATTATAAAATGTATACAGTAGACATGGCAATTAATTTTTTCTTAATAATATCAGCAATAAAGGGTATCAAATAAAAGAACTTGGAGAATAGAATGCGAAAAGCATATTGGTGGGCATGCGAGATTCGGCCCCCTCGAATTTAACTTTCTCACTTTCTTTTTAATTACCGTACATGTTATATACGCTTATAATAAGAGTAAAAAACTTAAGAATATAATACGGCATCGAATTCCATATGTTTATTATATATGCATATAAATAAAAAAAGGAATTTTGTTCTTAAATTTATGTACATTAGCGATCATCATGTTCATAAATACACACATGCACACACATTTATTTATTTATACTCAACGGCAGCTTCAATTTGTAATTTTAAAAAAAAGCCCATTAAAAGCCTAAATAAGAGAAAAAATTTAATTCTAAAACTAATCAGTAAGATGGAAAGCCAGAGACAAAACCAGCCCATACTTTAAAATGATTTGCCATTGTTTTTTTTGGAACCGTTGTTACGTGATGTCTGACCAGTCTTTTTACGACGTTTTTCTGATGACCAATCGACGTCGTCTTCATCGTCTGTTCCGGCATTAGTTTGCAGATACGATGAAGAAGATGAGGAACTGGCGCTATTACTCTCCTTTGTAGCTAAACGCCGACTGGCTATACGCGACGATATTCGTCCCATGCCCATGCACTTCTCTAAATGTGGAGCGAACCGTGCTGCCGACACGGGCCTATCACAGTTGGGGCAGGCGCAGTCCATAGGCTTCTTAGCAGTGGAAATACCAAATATATCATAATTGGGCATATCAACAATGCGTAACGACGATGAATCAGCTTCATCCTCGGTAGCCACGCCATCCAGCGCAGCTAAATTGCCAGTCTTACGCAAATGATGTATCTCCAAGAACACGCCGATAATAGCATCATCTAGTATAGACTGGTACATGTAATTGGCAGCCTCATCTAAGGACTTTGGATCTTTAATAATTTCGTGATATGACTTGAGTACAGCTGCCGTGGTGGTGTTGTTATTCGTATTGCCGGCAGCGGTAGTGGTATTGGCATTGTTATTATTAGTCTTGTCGTTAACAGGAACTTTGGTAGTAGACGTTGAAAGAGTTGTCGTCGAGTTTTTGCTTCCACTATTATTGGAAGATGCAGTAACATTATTGCTAGGAGCGCCGGCTGACATCTCTTTCTTCCACAAATGCTTTCGCAAAAACTATATCTTAGGTAGACTTACGATATGATATTGCCATATTTGCCGTATTTTTAAAAGGAAATAAGATATTTTCGTGGAAAAAAGTGCATAAGTTTGGAAACTCTGCAGATTTAAGCGCAGCGCAAAAAAAAACCATGCGCGTATATTGAGCATTCAAATGAAAAACAAGGATTTCAAGTAGATAGGATTTCATAGATTTTCAAGTTTTGACGAGGCATTGTCGGGGGATTAGCAAACCATATGGTTTGCAGGTAAGCAAAAAGGAAAAAGGTAGAAGAAGTAAAGAAAATTTGTTTAAATTTTAAAAGTTATTTGTCTTACTTTATATTCAGATTGTATTTTTTTAAAATAGGTTGTAGATGATTGAATACGATCGCTTTCTAATCGGCATAAGTTATTTACTGGTTATATTCCCAACGAATTCAACAAACCATTCGTGCTATATATCGTCCGAGTGTAACTAACAAAATAAATTCAAACAAACGCAACGAAGAAGAGCGAAATAAAAAATCAAGCAACCAAAAAAAAAAAATTATTTAAACTTAAACAATTGACATTTCAACGTGCATAAATCATAGGTGATAACATTTATAGGCTAAATGGAACTTGTGTGACTTACGTAAATATGATAATGACATTTAATAACAGTTTAGAAAAAAAAAAGGTGGCAACCATATTAAATCGAGTTAAATAAATACATAAATTTCAATTTTTTTTTCTTAATAGTAAATCCAAATTTTTTTATTTTCATATCGATTTTGAATTTTTTTTCTTTCATTTTTATAGATCCTTTCAACCATCTCAATTATTTCTTTTAATATTAGCTTTGTCAACTTTTGGTGCTCTTTTATTTTTTTGAAATGAAATTTTCAATTATTTATTTATTTCAATTTACTGTAATGTGTGACAAGTCTTTCCTTAGGCCAATAAACACGTTTTACGGAACCCAGTCTGTTTTTATTTTTACCCTAGCACTGACAAAACAATGAGGGTATTCCCGTAGCTTATGTTAAACTATCAATTCCACTTATAATCGTTTCCAAAAAATTTTTTGCTATTTCCTTCTTTATATAGGAAATATATTAGAAGAGTTTTTATTTATTTGTTAGCATCAGCCTTTATATTTATATGTTATTGTAGAAAAAGATATAGAGAGAGAGAGGGAGAAAAGAGTATGTATACCAGAAGAGAAAAGAATAGATGCTATCTAATGCAGCAATGTAGAGCTCCACCTGCCCCTAAAATCCGTAGCTATTTCTTTCCCTATGTTCGTTTATTCGCACCTGCTTATTGAGAAGCATGCCACGTCCGCATCTACTAAACTTTTCCATCTTATTTCGAATATTCGATAAATGATCTTTCGCACAGTTGAAATATCATTTTTAAATGAACGAGAGAAATATTTAGATGAATTATCACTGTAAGCCAAATATGTAATAAATTATAATCTAAGCGTGAGCAATTAAATATGGAGAAATACACACATGTGAGACAAAGCTGAAATAAACGACAAAGATTGTCTAAAAAAATTAAACGTTTGTGGATGCATTCCTACAGCATCTTGGAATTTTTCATGACTTGTTCCAATGTCGGTACAAAACTCTTTCAACATTATGCATTTGAAAAAGTGGTCAGACCCCAGAAGCATATGTAGGCTTGAGATGTAAATATGAGGTAATAAAATGTATTAAATAAATGCATACGTTCGTGTGGCAGCACCATAATGCGAATACTTGTGCGTGCTGTATGTGCGCTTGCTTAATGAATTGTATGTATTGAACATAAACAATATTATATTCAATATTCCTTCGTCTGTGGTGAACATTTTACAACATTACATTTCTATTTGAAAAAGCTGTACCGAGGTATGTCGTATAATACGGTACTCGTCAAACACGATTTCGAAACGGTACACGGTACACAACACGGTACAAAATTTCCGATTATTTAATTTCAAAAAATCAAATATGTATTCCGCTGGACTTTTTCTCGATTGCTTTTTATTTTTATTGTTATTTTATCGTTAATAAAGCGAATTTCGACCAACTTTGACAAAAAAAAAATACATTACTTATCATTTCTGATGAGAATTATTTTTGTGACTCATTATTATTTTTGACTATATATTTTGAAATTTTTCATTTCTTTTTTTTTTTTTACATCATAAAATGCTGCATCTTAATACTTCTTTTTCGATATAACACGATACATATTGCCTTGACTATACTACATCTAAGTTTAAATTCAATTATTCTGTAGTTTGAATGAATAAGTTTCGTATAACACAATTTCGATATAGAACGGTCCGAATTAACCATGTTATGTGTGCACCGACCATACTATACACATATTCCTATAGCTGGAGAAATATTTTCACTGATTTATCGTTTTTATTAAATTCTGTTTTCCTATTATGTTTTATATTGCAGAAATATGTTCCTACATTATATTTCATTTGCAATTTCTCAATTTTCATACATTTATGTAATTCCCGACTTTGTTCAAGAAGATATTGTAAACATGAAGAAATTTGGTGCAATTCTGGTCGAACTCAACACCTTGAATTAAAATCTGTACTTTAGTCGTAACGCCCACAGGAGTTTCGTCAATATATTAGAAATATATATGTCCTCTTTAACATATGAAACTTGCATCTATATATAGCCGGCATAGGAACAGCTCGGCTGTGAAGTTACGGAGTAGGAGTATATTTGTTAAGGATCAATTAGTGTGTTGCAAAAGCTTGATCCAGGTGAATTTTTGCAAATATTTTGATCTTCATTTTTTCGATGTTGTTTTTGGGGTAGTGGTGCAATAACATTGGAATTAATATGCAAGGATTATGAGTGGTAGTACGACTTCTGTCGTCAAATTTCTCTTATAAGTTTTTTTTGCATGTATCTTTAAAGGCCAACTTTTCCCATCTGCGGTCAATAATTAATGGTTCGAAAGCTTGCAATTTGACCGCTGGGTTAATGCTTCGGTACATTAAAAATATATAGTAAGTCTTATCTCCGTAAGTGTGCTTATGTTTATTTTATTAATAGTACTCCGATTGAAATTAAGTGGTAGGTTTTGGATAAGTATTGCCACCGACAGATTATCTGTGATGAGCAAGATTGTTGACTTGAACTGTGTCTTACTTAGGAATAAATCTAATTTATGTGACCTTTAAAGCCTTTTTCTGAGTGCTTCAACTATAGAAAAAATTCCAATATTCAAGACATATTGGGCATATCGAATATTAAAAACTTATTTTTCTTAAACCGATAGAACTGTAATAGATATATGTGTCAAATTTCACATCACTAGTGTTTCAGCTGTGCTTGGTTTTGTACGATACAAAAATATTTTTCCCGATTTTTACTATGTGTATCGTTGAACATAAAATATGCAAAATGGTCATGAATCGCAGTATTACGAAAGACGAGACTTGGATTTATGAACACGATTCGGAAACAACAAATCAGTCGAACGAATATTGTATAAAAGTTGAGCCAAGACGGAAAAAATGTCGCCCAACTCCCAATTTTCTTCGATTCGATCACGGTGTTATGCACTGTGAATACTTTCCGTCGGGCTAAACTGTTAATAAGGGGACGAAAAAGATTTGGAAGAATAAATAAATAGAATTAAAGAAGAAAAAAACTAAGCCGAACTTATTTTTTGATCCCGGCAGCATCGTCAAACTGTGGGGTTTAAAAATTGAAATTTTAGAAGGGTTTAATTTACAAAAATTGAACAAGTAATTAAATTTCGAGTCACAGCCCAGCTCATTTATTACATATTGAAACTGCAACGTGTTTTTATTATTTATTATTTTTTTTTTTTGTATTTTTTATTTCAATTTTTTTGTTTTGGTCAAAAGTACAAAATAAAATGAATCTTTCTTTAGATTAATGCATTAAAAACGGCAATAAAATTCGAAATTCTTGTAATAAAGTAAGCATATAGGAATTTCAACGTCTCTCATCTCATCTCATTTCATCTCATGTCTCGTTTTATACATTATTAATTATAGAAAAACAAAAACCTGGTTTTAGAGATGACAGCAAAACTTACAAATAGAACTAAACATTGTTTAAATGGTTTTCTTTTTATTGTTTATACATTGTTATGATCTCTGTAGGTGGGTAAATTGATAACATATTTGATGGTACAAGATTTCATATAAATTTATGAATGTGTAATACAAACAAATGCATTGCAATTCTTACTTATATTTGTTTTTCTTCTTCTTCATTAAATACATTATGAAGTAACAAAAGACGCTTAAAAAGCAAACAATTGCGGATTTTTTTTTCTTTAAATTAATACGCGCTACTGTTGTAAGGTAAAAGGGGAAATTTATCTTTCTTCCATTACCGCATTCCCTTTACTTATAGACATTTACAAAGGTTTTAAAAATTTTTGTTAGCGTAGTCGCTAAAAGTCATAAAAAATGATGTGTGCGCTTATAAAGCTGTTACGCTTATAGTGCCCTCACATATATACTTTGAATTAAAAATATATCGCAAAGCGATAAAGCAAAGTTTTTTAATACTTTCAAGTTAAATTATATTTTGTGTAAAAAGTTTTTTAAAAGTTCTTCAGAGAAAAAAAGAAAAATTCATCAAATTAAATCAAATAAATGAATCTTTCTCATGAAAAAATTTTTTTTTAAATTTTTAAATTTCCTCCTGTTCAATAATTTCAACAAAAGATAAAAAAAATGTTTATTTTCAAAATAAAATAACTTTTGCTCTTATAATCGCACTCTTTTTCGTTTAAAACCTTTGTTTACGTAGCGTTGTCATTATACCCTTTGTGTGCTAATACTTAAACTTAGTTAACTTCTATTATTGCTATGATATACAATAAAAAAGCTTATAATTGGCAACTGTTGACATTTTGTTATTTTATATAATTATAATAAAAAAAATGTGAAAAAAAGAAAAAACAAAAACAAACAGAAAGCAACGTGATGGGATAAAAGTTTTATTAATGATTTGTTTTTATTCTGTACTTTGTCCAAATATTCTTCGGTTTTTTTTTACCCCAGATGGTATTTAAAAAGATACCTCTTCAGATTAAATTATGCTTTAGATATTCACAAGCATACCTTTGTTAACAGATGTGTTTGTTCAATCTCTTTTTTTATGGGGAACTATCTTCGTTGTTGATGGCTCTAAAGGCCGATTTCCCCAGGAGGAGTTAGATCTTATATCTCCTATTTTTTGTGGAATCAAATGCTGAAAGGGTTTTTTTTACTTTCAAATTTTCAAAGGCACGAAGGCGGAAAGTTCTCCGAAATATCTGAATTCATTTGATTCTTTCATTCAAGAGTCTTTTTTTTTTTTTAGTGTGAAAAATTGTTTCACATATTCAGTAGAAATGTTTGCTAATTCAAGTGTCCTACTTAGCTGCAGCATAATAGTTCCTAATATTGTCGGTGCTGTCAATCCGGTTAAGCAACTATTAAGTGGTATAAAGCAAATATCTCTGCTGAATGCCAATTTGAAAATAAAATTAAATACGAATTTTTACAAAACTCTTGCGCAAATATCTTTAAATGTTAATTTCAATTTTTAAAACATTTCATATAACTCAAGAAACCAAAGCAGCGTAGTTCAATAGTTAGTAGAGTATTTCACTGGTGAATGGATGTTACCATCCATCAGTTTTGCTTGGTCTTACGATGCATACGAAAATAAAAGCTTTAGAACTTATGGTTTCTTAAAGAGTATGTGAAAGAAATTTTTAAGCAAAAAAATTTAAAAAAAAATTTCTTGTTCATTTTTATTTTTAAGATTTTATATAAAATTTAGCAATTGTTTTAAATTTCATATAAAATTTTATTTCTAAAATTGCAATTTTCAAAATCTCTTAATATAGTTTTATATAAAATTTGAAAAATTTTATATAGTTCAAATTTTCAAATTTTATATAAATCCTTATAAAGTTGATTGAGAAATTTCTTTTAATTCAATTAATCGGCAAATCGCCGATCTATGAACGCCATACGTCAATGGAAAAGGAAAGCATTCATTTAAGGACGAAAAAACTACGTAAAATACGTAAGAGTTCGATAAATCGTTTACATGCTAAACAAAGTTGAGCCAATATTTATTTATTTACACCTTTATTAGTCTTGTCTTTCTAACTGATATGTGTACAGCTCCTCTTCATAATTAAGAAACTTTATATACGCACGAAAGGGGGTGCTATTATTAAGTTAATCAATTAATTTCTTTTATCAAATGGTTCATCATTTGATCCAATTGCTCTTTAGGCAGCTCTGTGCCCTTGTGCAAATTACTTAATAGTGCTCCCGCGAGACTGTTTGCGACAATCGATCTATCTTCGTGAAGAACGTTTTAACATCAATCTACTTTGACCGATATAGAGGAATTAGTTCATTGCATTATGTTGGTGTATACTCCAATTCCGAGAAATATGTTCTTATCGAGAAGAACGCCGGAAATTTTTATATAACATATGCAGCTAACTTTTTCCGCTGGAGAAGGAGGAAGAAGGAGTGACTACATTTTAGTAAACTCTCGTCAGCCTAAAATTTATGCATTTAAAGATGAATATCAACCCTTTGATGATGACGTTATTATTCAAAGTTTTGTTTGTTAATTTCTTCTATTATAAAATGTTATTTTTTGTTATGGTATTCGTCCATTTATATGTTTAAGTGGCTAATGTTTGCTTTGCTCGCACTTCTTATCTTTCAATTCATTCTTTAACTTCTTCGCATTTTCAAGCAATTTGCTTTTTGAGTGTCTTCCATCTAACCTACCTGATAAAATAGAAAACTATTATTATAATAAATTACTTGCTGATGGATTCACTTCAAAGATATATCCATCCAAAATGCATTAACTTTGTTAACTAGTGTTAATGCCTTATACTGTTTCATTCAAGTTTTACTATTTATTTTCAAAAGTCCTTCTTTCTTTATGTGAAGCTAAAGAACTTTTCGAATTCATGCGATATTAGCGACTTTTTAAACTCGCAAGATATGCGTTTATAGCCCATCCAGTCATTCATTTTTTCTTTGGTTTATTTATGATATTTAGAAGACTCACTCTCCAGACTACAACTATCACCACCATCCTTCCACCATCCATTTTGATATCTACCTTTATAGTTATTATTTTTTTCAGTTTGATATAAAGAATAGGATTACAAAGACTTTCTGTTGCGTCTACAAGAGTAATAATAAGTACCTCCACGTCGTGTCACAATCGCCTCGTAAAACTCGAGTGATACCTTTGAAAAACCAGCAACATTCATTTCCGATATTTTTTTCTTAACTAAAACAACACTTAAGACTTAAAAATAGTTGTTTTCCTTTTTATCGATTAAAGCTGGCTTTCATCTTTTTACAGAACTCTTTACATTGGCGTATAACGTCAAAAACATTTAGTTTATGATTTATGATTTTAATATATATAACAAAAAAAAAAACTATGGCTCGAAGTAATTGTAACATGCTGCAACACAATTGCATAAATATCTCGGATGACGTTACCATTATTCGTTTCTAACAATCAGATTGAAGAATCCTCTATTTTGAACGTTAGCTTTAAAAAATGTTTATGTTTCTTATTAATTACCGGACAGACACTTACACATAAATATTTAAATATTGAAACCAATATTGTTTTACGATAAACATTTTATACTAATTAATTGTCTCGGAATTTATAATAAAAGATCCACAGAAGAAAAAAAATAAATAAATAAAAAAATACGATTAAAATGTAATCAAATGGTCCTGTTAGAAAGTGTAATTAAAAAGTAAATATTAAAAAATCTAAGTAAAGTAATAGTTTTATGCGAAAAAAAAGATTAGCAAAAAGAAACGATAGAAATAGTAAACAAATAATGTTTCTTAACAGATATGAGAAATTTAGGACAGATTTAGGCAAATTAATAGTAAAAATGAAAAATATATATATATATATATATGCATATATATAAAAATATTTAGGTAAAAAATTGCTGTTTTTTTTTTGTAGAGGGAAAAAAAGAAAAATATTTAAATCAAAATAGGAAAACTCACAATGCATGAATTTGAATTTCATTGCTTGGACTGATGTGTTTGCTGAGACCCTTCTTTAACAAAAGACGTTGGCTATGAAATTTTTGGTAAATGTAAAATTAGTCCATGAATTAAAATTGGGCGTGAACTGCATAATTGGTCTCTGTTGCTGGACAGTGGATTGATGCGAAGTGGAACGTTTTAATATGCGCAAATTAGTGCCTGAAGTCAGATTCTGCAATTGTGGCATGCCGGCAGTTAAGTCGGATAATTCCCTTTTGATATGGTTTTGTGGATGGGTGTTGTTCTTGTTGTTGCTATTAGTATATCGAACATCATTTTCAGTCAAATGCATTGATACTGATGAGGGTCGAAGCTTTTGATTTTTTGTCGTCTTGGTCGAATTGAAAGTGCTCGGCTTACCGCTTAAATTAGTCTGGATTTGCTTATGCTGATAACTACTAGTAGTAGAATTTTTCAGTGACGCACTAGTCACACTTGATGCTGCAGTAGCAGCTAAAGCCAGTAAATCGACTCCACTGAGAGCAGGTGGCGTACACGTCTTATAACTATTGTAGTTATAATTATTTCCATTACTGCCGCAACCTCCACCGTTATTATTATTGCTTAAACGATGATTGTTTTTGTTATTTTGACTTTGGTTGTTGCTATTAGTTACAATCATAGATTTTTGTTTTTGTAGACGTTGCATGCTACTGCCACTATTATTGCCATTATTGGTGTATCCCAAATGACTTGAACATTTACCGTTTTTACAGCTGTTATTATTATTATTATTGTTATTATTATTATTATTATTATTATTGTTATTGTTATTATTATTATTATTAGTATTCGTATTACATAATTTGTCACTTTGTGATTTAGCTCTCACACGACCAAAGCCGCCACCGCCACCAACACTATGATTTTGTTGCTGTTTTTGAGCTTTAGCGAAGGCAGCTTTCATCTGTTGCTTCTCCCGTCGTATCAAATCAAATGAACTTATTATCTGTAAGCAACGAACAAAAAAAACCGTAGAGTAAACGTATGCCTTGGAACGTTCTTGCAAATGATATTAAGCCATCCAAGGATGGATCAAAAAAAATATATATATGTATATAATAAAATCAACCTACCTTCTCACCACCACCTTGTTGTTGTTGGTGCTGTATATTGCCATTTTGACTTTGGCTATGGAACAATTGACGTTTTGTAGTTGCTGTAGAATTGTTACTAGCACTATTACAATTGCCAACGCCGTTTTGTGCATTATTGCTGTGAGCAAAAGTTTTCGATAAATGATTCTTCTGCTGGTTACCATTACCGTTCCCATTGCCAACGTTATAAATCGTTGGGGTCGTCGTTGTTGAATTTGTTGTACAAGAACCTGTCAATGGTGTAGTTGCAGCAATTGCTGCACTATTGCTGCTATTGTTTTTTAACTTACAGTTACTTTGATTTTGATAATTACTAAAATTATTAATTAATCTAATACCATCTAAATCACCCATGGATTTATGGCGTTGTCTTTTAGAACGATTTGTTCCCGATGAAAAGGTTGCATTCGAATTTCTACCACAGGCATTATAATTATTATTTGTACAGCCTGTATGATTATTATTGTTGTTATTGTTGTAGTTGTTGCCATTATATGTATGATTACGAGTAATGATTGTTATTGCAGTATTAGTACATGAGGAGGAGGAAGTGGACGAGGACGTTGAGTATGTTGATGCCCCTTGCAATAAAGCACCATTATTTAAGGCATTATTCTCATCATTTATATTATTATTATTGTGATTGTTGTTGTTACTGTTACTATTATTATTATTATTATTATTATTATTATTACTATTATTATTATTATTATTATTATTACGTTGATATCTTTGTTTTTTAGAACTATGATTGGATTTTTGGTTTTGCCCACCACCGTTAACGGCAGTAGTTAATGGAGATGTTGAAGCGGACGAAATGCCTCCTGCGCCACCACTATTTCCGCCTGAATATTTGCGTCTAGTTTCTACGCCGTTGCGTTTATCGTTAACCCATTTCTTGAGCCGCTTTACAAATGGCATAATCATAAAAAATGAATTGGCATTTATGCCCAATTTGGCTTTTGATATGGCATCATTTTTATTGACTGGCAATGAATCAATCGGAAACCAATCACAGCATTTAATCTCATTGCGTGTCCGCGGCGAGAATTTCGTTTCTAACGAAACATCGCTCACGATGTACAAGCGTGTGTATTGATAATTGATAACAGCCTCAATAAAATCATTGGGTACAATTAATTCGGTGATATCGTAACCTGTTTCTTCGAATACCTAAAAAAATGTAAAGCCAAATTGTAATATGAAAAGAATCATTTTACAGCAACTTTAACCAACAGATGAATATATATACGACAACAAGAAATCCTAATAAACTTAATGTTAGGTTAACAAAGCTAATAAGCTTTGCGGATAATAATCCGCTGTAAAATTTTTAAGAATACTTAACTGGTGCTTAGCAGTACAAAAATTCTTCAATTTCGGTCAACGTGTATGTAAAATACACTGCACGTTTACCTTTAATTGGTTTTGCCAGAGAAACTTTTCAATATAATGAAGAAATACACTTATGAAGAAAAGGGACTCGGTCACTGGCTGCAGTTTCTCACTTTCTCATTAATCTTACAACAAATATGAGAAACGAGAAATCTCAATTAGAAATCCATTCAACGCTCTCATAAAAAATTTGTCATTTGGCAAACATTGGGTTTATTATATATTCGTTGGATGAAGCATGTTTTGCATCTTCCGTCGGAAGTCGGATTGTCAGAAGTGTCTTCCGGTCTTTTAGCGAAGAACATAGGATTGATATTTACGTATAATTGATCGGAAGAGTAGCGAATTCAAATATAAGACTTAACAATATATATGTTCATTCTAATAATGAACATAATTAAAACTAGTTGTTTAAGCAAATCGACGCCTACATAGCAAAATAATAAAAAGAAATAAAATAATTAGGGAAGTAATTAAATTAAGTGTGCCGAAAAGCTTTTTCGCACGAACCAATAAGAAACCTTTTTTCCAGATATCGGAATCTTAAGAAACTGTCAAAGAGAGAGAGAGAGAGAGAGAGACGCTGCAATGGCCGAGTGTTTTGCACTTTCCGAGTTTTATAGCATTTGATAGGCGTGGCCATATTTCCCATTTTTATAAATATATTGTGGGATAAAATATATTGGGAAGTTTCCGTCGTTTTATATGTCGTAGTTTAAGTAAGGAGATTTTTAAGATAGAGATGTTCTCTGCTTGTTTTAATATATGGGCAGATCTTTTGACTGACTTGGCTAATTTTCAATATCACACTGTGTACAAACGTTTCCAATGTTTTTGCCAAAAGTGAATTCGCTATTTTAATAGTTGCGACCAAAAAAATATCCACCGCACATATCCACATAGACGAATAGACAGAAGAACAGGCGGATATATCTACATCCATTCGGGATGTGATATTAATCGCGAATGAACATATTTCATAAAGCTTCTGAAGCTTTGTCCTGAGTGTTACCAGCCTTTTAGCCAAAAAATAGCATTTTGATTATCGGTAATGTTAGAAGGGCGTTTTTTTTTAAATTTTTTGAATTTACATGACATTCTCATCATCGCGAATCAAAACTCAGTAGTAGCTGGTTCAAATATCAAGTACGGCATCGTTTCCAATAAAGGCGAGTATATGATTTAAGTTATCCGGCAGCCTTTATATTCATACAAGGTAGAAACAATAAATGAATAAATAAAATTTACATGACAATTTTTATCGTAATGTTTATTGTAATTGAACGCACTTTTGTTTTTGCTCTTGAAAACGTTTGCGATCTCAGTTTACATTGCATTAACATATTATTTGACCGATTGGTCCTGTTTTCAATACTAATTTTTTTTTTCTCAAATTTAAAGTAAATATCTTTGACGATAAATAATACGCAGACGAGCAGATACACATACCTAGTTCCATTCGTAGTTTAATTCTGTTAAAGAGTATTTAGCCCTCATGAGGTCGCTTAAGCTTCCTGAACCGCATTGCAAGCATTTTGATGAGATGGTTATATTCGAGTGTCAGAATGATCTCGTAATTTCTTGTAATTTTATGCATATCCTCAATGTTATTGAATTGTTTTCAATTTATACTTTAATACTCACATACCCTTTGCATTATTAAAAACTTCTAAGTGAACATTTTTTGTGAAACAAGAAATGTGGAAGAAATTTTCTCATATAATTCTTTTTTTATTTTTCCAAAAACATGAAGCCTAAACGAGCGCTGTTGAAGCCGTCGCCTTCAAATTTGGCATAAACATTGGAAGTTCTTGCAAGCAGTTTGATATTGAAAATGGGCCAAATCGGTTAAAGGACAGGCCCACAGTATCAAGTAAACTGAGAACATCTGCTTCCCAAAACAAACAAATAGGTCGGTTTTATTCATTACGCATAAACTATAGCAGATCAAGGTACAAAAGTGGAAAACATTGACTACGCCTACCCAATATTGCAGTGTCGAAATATTATTTTTTCTCAATACATTTTCAAGTTTCAAAACTAAATTAAATTAAATATTTAGCCAGTTTCGGAATACACCTAATAATATCCCTCTGCTCAACTATGTAGTATCTGTGGTCAGCATTTTGCGAAGATATCACCTTCAAACGTCCAAAAGCAATTTAAAATGGCTCGAACAGGTCAAAGGCCACGCCTACAACACCCACACATCTATACAACCAAAACTAAGAACACCTTTGCCTTCAGTGTCATTTTCGCGTTGCTTATAAACTACAACTGATATACGATATAATTTCCACAAAATTATTCTATAAAAATAGCCACGCCCATCCAGAATTATGAAATAGGCAAATTTATATATATTTTTTTTCCAATCTTTTATAAAATATATATGTATATATATATGATATAAAGTATTCGATCGCTATACTTACTTGTCCTATAAACATCTAATCGAACGTTTTCCTTTAGATGTAGGAAAAAAAACTTATTAAAAGAACTAAGGTAATCATGCAATTCTCCATAGCAATTGAACCCATAATTCTGGACCAGAACACTCTTATTACTTCTTTAGTATTTATTTCATATTAGATTAAAAAGATCACTTCCCAAACTTAACTACGGTATTAATTTCACTTTTTGCAACTTACCTCTCTAGTGGCACAATGTACCGGATCTTCATTCTCGTTGACTTTTCCTTTGGGAAAGCCCCAAGAACTTTTGGCAAAATATGATTGCACTAGTAAACAATAATTGAGATCTTCTGATATTAGTATGGCTCCATAGGTGGGCACGGATAATTTATAATTCTTCCAATCTTCCAATATTTTATCAATCGATGATAAATGTTGGCGTAGGAATGGTATATGCTATAATTATTGATATATGGAATTGAAAAAGAGATAATTAGACTATAATGTTGGAAAAATAAAAAAATAAACTAACCTCAAATAATTGCATAGCAAACTGTTTCATGCCACACGGTTGCATCTTTTTCTCCTCCTCGGAAGCACAAAAGAAATCTAAATAGAACCAATGAGCCAGTTCAATTTGAAAGCAAATCCTTATTAAATTATTTAATTCCATATCTGGCACGTTAATAATAAAACGACTAGCCAGATCATCGAGTATATCGGACGGAATTTGAAAATTATACTTGTTACAGCTGGTGGGTCCAGTACCATTGGTTTGCTGTTGTGGTGTTTGTGGCTGATTGTTTTTGGTTTTGTTATTGGTTTTAATCGATAAGGCTTCCAGTAAAGCTCTGCCGGCATCTTTTGAACTGAAGATAGTGTATGTTGCTTGCGTTGCTGGCCGCTGCTGCTCTTCTTCGCATATATTGGCCGAAACCAATGCTTGTAATCCAGCTGTTGTGAAAGTAAATTTATTTGCGGTTGATGACTGATGTTGCAGATGAGGCTCTTGTAAGGTTGTGGTTGATATCGCCAATGCTTTCGAGTTCGGTGTTGCCGATGTTTGGCATGATAGTGTGGTTGATAATGGTATTGCTTCTGTTGTCACTGGTGGTAAAGAAATGGAATATTTGGTTATAAAACCACGATGAGGTTGTGTGTTGTTTATTAAATTTATGTTATTATTATGATTTAAAATTAAATTGCTATTGATGTGTTTATTGCTATTATTGTTGTTGTTGATATTTAGTGCATTCTTAAGCGTAAGCGATGCTAGGAGCGCAAGTCCGTTATTGGAGGTTATAGCTGAAAAGGATTAAGAAAAGCGTATTTTGTGATAAATATATATAGGATTTAATTGATTCCACAATTTTGCTTTAATTTCGAATATGTCATCTGAAAAAGATGGTTCTGTAGATATTATATAAGTGATAAAACAGGCTTCCAGCCCGGTTTAGACGAAAGCTATGTTAATTTTAAAAAAATTGCACTTTTTCTCAAAGGAAATTTTTTGTTTACATTGGAGAAAGTGGACTCAAATTCTACTTTCCATCTGCTTTTTATTTCTAATATCAACAAAAGTGGAATTCAATTCATCCGTTTATGATGGTTTTGTTCTTTAATTATTAAGTAAAGTGTGCTCCACATTTTTCAGCTCCAATTTATTGTGACAAATGATGGTATCCAACAATTACAAATTGATGGTAAACATCCTCCACAGATTATTTTCCAGGTTTGACAAGAAAAAAACGAAAAAGGATCCAAAAATTTCTAAGTCTGTTCCATAGAGTTTGTTGTTTTACATGAAGAAATCAAGGAATAAACACACTTAAATCTGTCATAAATATTCAACAAAAGCCGATTTTGACACAATCTTCCTACACTTTTTGCTTAACTTATCATTATTTTGTTGCATATTTATTTACCATCTTCAGTTTTAAAACCTCCTGGATAATCCGAATTTAAGGCAATTTCCATATTGTTTGAACGTTGTTCTTGTTGCCACTCTTACTGCTTTTCACAAAATTTGTTGTTTCTTTCCAATTATCAATCAATTTTTTTTATAATTTCTCCACATAAATTTAATGAATTCTTTAATTGTTTTGTTTTTTTCTTCTGTTCTCTATCGAATTTTATTTCTTTTTGCTGATAAATATTAAGTTTATTGTTTTTATACAGGTTTGTGTATTTTATATTAATAATATTTTATATGTGTATGGTATAGCTTTTAATTTGTAGCAAAAGGTGGATGGTTTACTTCATACGTTAGAAGAAGACAAAAGTAGCAGACACGCAGTCGTTTGCAATTGTTATCTTTTTTTATTTTTATTTCAGTACACATCCAACAGTGTTGATAAAAACGAAAAGGGGAGCAAAAATGAAAAAAACACCAACAAAAAATCAAACAGAGATTATATGGTGGTCTTATTTTCTCTACTGCTATGTCAGCGTGCCAACTTCCAGTGTTGTGGTGTTTATCGTTTGGTTATTGGCTTTTTCTGTTAGAAATTTTAAAGATGGCTGCTTAAAAACTAGTTTTTCTTTATGAAATTTATAAATCTGATATTTTATTCTGTAGAGAAGAGTTCGCTTGCTAAATACACTGCCTGTTGTATGGAATAAAATGCATTTATTTCTAACGCTGCAGTAGATTTTTGATTGCTTTCTAATTCTTGGATTTGGGGTCAACAAATTCTTACTGCCGATGTTGTTTTTGCTTTTGTTCTTGTAATCACTTGCACTGCTATAATGTATGTTTTTGTTGGTGGTACGTCGTTTTTGAAAAGCAGCCATTCACACTACAAAAACCTTTGCAAAAACTCTGCTGTAAAAGGGACCACTGAGCAAAGGGTCGTTTGACGTCGTTGTCAAGGAATATGCGTTAAACGCAAAACCAAGCACTAAATTCACTTAGTACTTGTTTTTTTTTAACATACACACGTTTGCATTACTACATACATTTACGTATTTATAATCTCACACAACATCGCATATATTCCTTCTGTCTCCGTAACCGTCTTCAAAATTTTGCTTTGCTCTTTGTGTTAACTTTCTAAAAATGAAAAAAATTTTCCGCTGTTTTCCTTAAGACTTTGCGTTAGAATTTCAACAAATTTTTAAAGTTTTCCACAGACTATACTGCATCCGCATGCAGGTCAATTATAATTTACTAAATTTTCCAATATTTCTGTAACTTTTGCGTTGGGAAATTGCTTTCAAAAAGCGCTCCTACAAACTCCCTAGATGTTATTTGCTGCGTTGTCGATAAAAGACTGAAGTTAGTTGCAATTTCGCGATATTGTGCAAAAGATGATTTTAATACACGAATTTGCAACCTTGACTGTTAAAATTAAAATTTAAATCTACTATGGTCAAGAAAAGAGAAATAAAGTGAATTCTTGAATTGTGTAAAAAGTTAAAAATGTAGTTATGCTTTGGTGTTTTTATAAACCCATCCCTTTAAAATGAAATGCTTCATGTTTCCATAGTAGCGTAGAGAAAACGTAAAGATCAAATTAAAAAAAAGTGATTAGATTGTGTTTTCGTAGCAACATAAAATAAAGGTATTATATTTCTATAAAGGTATTTATTTTTTATAAATTGAGCTTCATTTTTTGGTAAAAATTCATTTAAGAGTAAGATTCTAAAACTTTTGATAAGTTTCGGTCATAACATAGTCATGAAACTATAAAAAGAGGGTCTTAGAATACTACAAAGATCTTTAAAAGATTACAGCATGCAAAAAGTTCTTCTCAAAATATCGATTTATAATTGCGGACACGGAATATATAAAACGTATTTATCGGGAACTATTTCATTACATATCTAAGATTGCGTTTAATATACAGACCTATTGATTATATATGAATTGTAGAGAGAGGTGAATATACAACTAAATGCATTGATTGAACAGAATAAGAAAGTTTTTCTGAATTAAAATTAGTTGAACTTCTTCGTTACATTAACTTTACATTAGATTGTAATCATATAATCATAATTTATGCAACAATTTTTAATCACAGGTGCTAAACTCTTCTGATTCCTCTGGATCAACTTTCGATTGTAATTTTATAACATGCCACTTAATCTCAATATGTGAATTTTTAATTTCTTTAACAGCAGTCTTTGCAACATTAGAACGAATTGGTGTACTTAATACAAGTTGATTTGTGTCCACATATATAGATATTGTAAAAATTTTTAGTTAAAATATTTAGAAAGTAACAGTTTATGAAAATAAATAAATTCGTAAGTTTTGAAGGATGCTAAATCAAAACATGTAAAAACAATCGGCAAATATTTAAACCTCTTCATGTATACTGTTTTACTAACAAGCTATTATTTTTGGAATCTCGTATATATATGTACATTTCTTTGATATTGGTATAAAATAAATGAAAGAATTGTATAAATTTTGACAATATCCAACACTTCTTTTCGTAAAAAAAGTCTTTGTTTTGATTTACGCGATTCTCTTAACAGTAATAACTTTAATAACGTTAGTTAGATTTAAGTCTTTCTTTATATAATTGGTATATTATATGGAACATATATGTAAATAAAAAAATATTATTTAAGAAATCTACGTTGAAATAATACCAAGTATGAAGATAATTGAACATTTTCAATACCAAATGCGTTTTGATACCGTAAAAAAGATTCCACCGTTGCAATAAATCAAGTGTTTTGTGATAATAACGACATTCACAGCGTGAAGAAATGCTAACTTTTTTGATATCGTTCACTTTCAATCGACAGCTTTTCACTTTGTCTACTACATAGTGGTATATGTACTTATATATGTAACCGATAGTTCTTATCAGAAATAAACTTTATTCTTTCAAAAACAGCAAATTATATGGAAATTTCGTTTGGCTTTACTTCGTACTGTCATTCTTTCATATCCAAATTTATTTCGTAATTTGAATACGATATAAGTTTTAAAATTCACAATTGTTTCATTGTTAAACAGCTGTCAACAAAAGGAATCATTCACAATCTATTTACAAAATTATTGTGCAATTTTATTTCATTAGAAAGAGACAAAACAAAGTAAGAAATAGATTAATCAAATGTAAATTGTGATTTGCATAAAAGTTTTTATATACCTCTTTTTAAATAAAACTTATTATTAAGTTGCTTAGGTCTAAATTATTTATAAAAACGTAAAGAAGAAACTGACTTGCGAAATTTTCTGGAATTGATATACTATGTAAATTTTATAAAAAAAATGTGAATGTTATAATTTGATAAGTAAAGTGAAAAGTTCCAAGCATTAATGTTGACTCCTTTTGCAATGAAAAAATATTTAAACAGCATGTTTACTTTTATGGTTTTAAAGTATTGTTAAATTAATTTATAATTTAATTTGAAACATGTAAGGTGAATAAATATCCTTTCCTGCGCGAGTTATATATGTATGTAACAAAAGGTAAGAATAAAGTATGCGTGTTGTATATATAGATGTAGAAATGCATATGGCTATGTATGTATGTATATAAAATTTTATTATATTTTCTTTCTGAAGACAATTTACGCAATATACCTGTTTGTTTAGTTTCCATTACTTAGCATCAATCGATTTTGCCATTAGCCTCACGTTGTTATATGCGGAGATGTGTTTACCTTTTCGCCAGTAGTACAATTGATATTTAATGCCTACTATATTTTAGTTCATCATAGTGATATTTCTGAAGCTGCGGGGAACCAAAAATGAAGTGAACAAAGAAGGGAACTAAGGAAACTTATTCCGCGTCCAAGAATTTTGCATTACGCATAAAAATAATGGGAGAGCGGGAGTGCAATTATCTGTGAATGGCCATTAAAAAATTTTCCTTCTTCCCGCACCAGAAATATGTAGGCAATCGAGACTTGGTTTCTCTGTTTATTCGCTTTTAGTAATAACAAAAAAAAAAAAAAAAAAAAAATGACGTTGGATGCCTGAAACTTATGACAAGGCAAATATAAACTCCTTAGTTATATCTCATAATTTGTATTTCCTGTATTTAGCTGTGCCCTCTATTAATTCATAATTTAATGTCTTCACTACATTTTGTGCATATTGAATACTTACGTGGTCAGTCTGTAAAACCAGAAAAATTTTAAAAATCTTGAAAAAAAACGCAAAGTTTTAATTTAATCCTGAGTAATTAACTCAAAATGTAAATGAATATATTCTCGGTAATTATACCAATGCATTTATACGGCTGGTTTATATATTTGTATATCAAACCGTAGGCAAGAATTGATCAAATATTAAAAATAAACGTGTCGAAAGGTGCAGATAACGTCTGATCTCTGCAAAGGTTATATACTGGCTCAAGTAGATTAAAGAATTCGTTTCATGGTTGAAGCTGTGAGTGGAACACTACAGTGAACACTGTCACCTGCAATGAGCACACAGCCTTTTCTTTCTTTTCATGCCTTTTATGATGAAATTTCGTAAACGCCTCAAAATACATCGAATATTTTCTTAAAATGTCGGTAAGTAGCTTGACATTTACTTAAGGAGTGGAAAACTTTATACATTTGCCAACCATGCAAACGGAAAAACGAAATTGGGGAATTATGCGAAGAGTCATCGAGTTGTGTTTTTCTAGATAAATTTGCGTTTTAAAGGTAGTAGGTTGGTTCAGATCACACGCTTTTATATGTCTCAACGAAATTATGTGAAGATGCAACATTTTGAAAAGTTTATTACTTTGGCGTATACATTTTTTTCTTCTTCTTTTATGCTCTTATCTAACTCTTTCATAAGTTTGATAAGGCTTTCATATCAAACTATAACGGAAAGAAAAACATAGTCGTACTATCAGCGGTTAGTTGCTTAAAAACGTCCGTAGCCTATTAAACAACTAAGAAATCAATCAGATAAAGTGTTATGCTATACCTCCATAGCAGTAATTCGCTGTGTTCTTTTTGAAAAAGTTTGGGGAATTGTTTCAAAATTCGAAAAAAGAAACTTTCTTTCACGTGAAACACTTTTCTTCCCTTTAAGAGTTAGAAGTTAAAAGAAAATGGATTTTCTTAAGAAAGCTGTATTCGGCTGAGACTGGATCTTATATATCAAACACTGTCTTCTGTAATGACCCTATCTTCTATTTGCATCGTACCAAAGTGAACGTGTATATAAGAATTTTATTTAAAAAAAAGAAAATTGATTTTTTTTGTTGTTAATTTTAAAAATTGTAATATTGTTAATTTGTGGCGTTTGCTGTTTTTGCTATTTAATGAAAGATTCATTTGTTTTATAATACAGGATGCAAGGCTAAAGCGATCGCGAGTTATTGTAATGCGTCGTGTCTTCTTAATCACACGAAGAAATAACACAACCATTAAATTCTTTTAGATCGCAAACATTTTCATTGATCATATTTTTACTTTTTTCGGTTTTACTTATGAATTTATAAAAATTCAAATAAATAAAAAATGTTTAGGTAAATAGTTATCGTTTCGTTTGTCTTCCGGATGAAGACATTAGGTGGGTGAGAAATAAGACATCCGAGTAAAAATTAAGCAAGAAGTAAAATAATTATACTACCCAGTAGTGAGAATGTTTGTTTATAACTAGTTGATTAATCTCACGCCATTCTGACGATCCAGATAGGGTAAACGCGTGCTTAGCTAATTGATAAGAACGAAAGAAAATATTAACTACTCTACTATCATTATCCTTGATGTACTATAATCTAAAATATTTGAACTAAATTTAGTGTAATCGCTCGTTCGACTTCAACCAATCGAAATCTAAAATTTAACCTTTTGTTTGATAGTCCTCATATCGTATGGTGAATAATTAGAACGTCACGTCTACTAAAAATGTTTAAAATACGTCAGCGATCATGTTTACTGGTGACGTTAGCTCTAATATTAACACCCTGTATCATTGTATTGATGATAATGGGTCCCGAGTTATCCACCGAGCAGACGTTGTCGCAACGTTTGGGCGAGTGCCATATGCGTTTACAGTATTTGGAATCTATGTCTAGAACGAGACAAGAAGATGTTGCTCTTCTCTCGCAATTTATAATCATATTACAAAATTCGTCCGCAACAGCTTTAACGACAGCTATGCCGGCACAGTTTATAACGTCGAATAGCTCAACGCTATTTACGGCTGGTAATGGTACATCATCACTGTCAGCGTCTACTAATACACTATTAGACGCTCTATCCCCAGAATCTCGACAAATACTACGTAATGCTTCACAAGCTTATGCAATGCAATCGCATTTAAGTTCCTCATCTAGCATTCATTTGCCTACCGCTTTTAACTATTTGCCTCATTTGCTGGACGATCCGAATTCATTGAGACCAGCTTTATTGAAATCGCGAGGACGATCCGATGTCGGTATTATTTTGGGTGTACCAACGGTGAAAAGAGAGAAACAATCTTATCTTATAGCCACACTTAACAATCTTATAGCGAACATGAATGATGAAGAGCAAAACGAAACATTGATAGTAGTGTTTATCGGTGAAACCGAATCGGATACTGTATTCCGAATATGGAAACAAATCGAAAGTGCTTTTGAATATCATCTAGAGAATGGCTTAATAGATGTAGTAGCTCCAGCACCTTCCTATTATCCAGATTTTAATCGTTTGCACGCGACATTAAATGATTCTTTGGAGCGAGTAAAGTGGCGTAGTAAACAAAATTTAGATTTCGCTTATTTAATGGCCTACGCACAAACAAAAGGTAAGTTATCGAATTAGTTTAATGAAAAATTATTTCAATCCCTCCTTTTTAATTTTTAGGGACTTTTTATGTGCAGTTGGAAGATGATATTTTGGCTAAGCGTAATTTTTTAAGTACTATGAAGAAATTTGCTGTTACGAAAAGTGCTCTCACGAAACCGGATCAACCACCTTGGCTCGTATTAGATTTTTGTCAGTTGGGCTTTATAGGCAAAATGTTCAAAACGGTTGAGTTGCCTTATTTGATAACATTTTTTCAGATGTTTTTTAACGACAAGCCTGTTGACTGGTTGTTAACCTACTTTGTAGAGTCAAAAGTTTGTCGCACCGATAAAGATCATAAACATTGCAATACTGAAAAAGCAAAACATTGGTTCCACTATCATCCGTCGTTATTTCAGCACATAGGCACAAGCTCTTCACTAAAAGGTAAAGTGCAAAAACTCAAAGATAAACAGTTCGGTTCTAAAGTGCCCACGTTTTATGGTCATAATCATAATCCACCGGCTGTTGTAAAAACTAATATTGCCGTCTATAAAAACTACCAACTAAAAAGGGCCTATAAAGGTGAAACATATTTTTGGGGTTTATTACCACAGCCAGGTGATCAAGTGCAATTCATATTCTCAACACCAACATATCTCAAGCATTACCTGTTTCGCAGCGGCAATTCAGAACATCCTTCTGATCGTTTTTATAACACAACCGTTGAGGTATTACCCGCCGATACCCTTGGTGAAAGTTCCCCCGTTTGGAGTACATATAATTCAACTGCTGATGGTTATTTAATAATAGGTGGCTTCGACGCTATTGGCTTAGCGGAAGGTTTCATCGATCCAAAAATTGGAGCGATCAAAGAAATTCGCCTGCATATACATGGCGACAGTGAAAATTGGGCGTTGCTAAGCGAAATACATCTACAGGAGACACTAGTGGGAAATTTAGATGGTGAGAAAACACAAGCGAAGAAAACTAGTTGATTATCCTATTTTTGGCAGCTATAAATATTCATAAGATTAGCAAGAAGTAGTCGAAACGGATTTTTAAAAGAATGTCGACTCATCACGAATATTGAACTCGTATTATATATACATAAATGTAACCAATTCTACTAACGAAATAAGTGTTATTTTGAAAATCTCTTTTTGTTTTTCAACGAAATAGTGTTGTAGTTAACTGCTACTTTCGTTACGAACGTATGTCGGTGTTTAATCATAAAAATCACATTTAACTTGTATTGTTTTCTAGTACTCGAATTCAGACAATCTCCTTGTATTAAGATATAAAGAAATCGCAACGAAAAATAGAAAAATCGTTATTGTAATAATTGTGTTAGATGTATTATTGTCGACATTAATAATTCTTTAATATAATTTATTTACATGTTGTAATGCTTTAAAAAATCCTTATTCATATTGGATCAAAGATGTGAGGAACATTCCGGACATATTCACCCTATTAGGATACAACAGGTTTCACTGTTGAATATTGATAAGAATGCAATCTTCTTTAATTCTATATTGCCATAAATGGTGTTTTTGTCGGGCTTTCTATGTAGTATAGACAAAAACTTCTCGACGAAAACGAAATGGAATTCTGCATAGAAAGTTGGCTTTCTTTTAACTTGGCTTCACTTTCAATCAATTCAGAATACAGCATTCAATTCATTTGGACTGTAAAGTTTATATAAAATGTGAAATAAACATTACCATAGTTGTGCAAAGCAGTTCTTTAGTTCACGTGTGTATGTACACATACTAAATGCAAGTTTTGGCATTTTAAAATATTTATCTAATTTTTTGATGCTTGTCACACGAAGCGGGCGGCTGTCAACGAATTTTACACATTCATAAGCCTGTGTTCCTGGATTAGAGTCATACTCGTGATTTTATACAAGCAAGCGGTGCTGTTCCAACATGTGTTTTTGAAAACGTCATAGTTCTAAAAATTGAATTCGTACCATGTTAATATAGCTGCAACTGAAGCAAATGCTTTTGTGAAATATAATTAAAACATTTAATGGACCTCAAACTCTTCTTCAATGCGATTACAAATAGCTTTCTTGTTGAATTTCTTCCAATTATTGTTATTATTGTTTTTCGTTTTTTTAATATACCAAATATTGAACATAATGAATAAAAATGTACAAAGTCTTTAGTTGAATTGATTACTTGTTTTACGGTTTATTATCAATAATAAGTTTCTTAATTAATTTCCGTCCTATTAATGCTGCATTTCTCTTCCACCTTTCCTAAGTTTCTTTATTCGTTTAATTGCTTATGTCTTTCATATTTTAAATAACATTTTAAGCAACCGTTTTTTAAGAAAAATAAACTAAATAACGTTATGTACTGTGATGTGTTATTATAACTAATTTTTAAGTATTAAAGAGAAACTGAAAAAAGAAAATGAATCGAATTAATATATAAAAAGTGTGAATTTTAAGTTACTAATTTATGAAGCAAAAATAAAAAAAGCAACAATATGGCGTACTAGACGAATGAAAAGAATTTGCGTTAACTTTAACCTAAACAAAGGTAAAGTGAAAGTAATTTTGTGTTCATTGTTATGCTCACTATCGCACGCATAGTTATCCTATACAAGCTTAAAAGAAAAAAGAAAGGCATAAAGAGATATATCGACAAAAAGAACCATAGAACGGACACACGTGGTGTCGCTGTTACAGTTATTGACTATAGATAAACCATAAGAAGAATCGGCGAGTTGGCCTAACGAAATTTCAATTTGGAAAGTGCTGGCCGACATTAATACGTTCACTTTAAGGTGATGGACATTTAACCACTACCTTGAGACGAATGGAGCCTTTTCTTTCCCTTATATATATGATTTAAATATATTAAACTTATTATGTTATACCCAAGATCGGGTGGATTGTTCTGGGTTATAGTTCTTTCTTTATAGAGCCGCCAAAAATGGTTCGAAGGGGCTAATAAAATAAGCCTTTCAATCGCTGATTGGTCAATATTTAACATTTGGAGGTCCTTTAATAAGCCGTTAATTTCGAATAGAATCATTCTATGAAAAAGTATGGGCTATCAATGGTACGATATCGTCTTTAGTATGCTTAAGCATGAACATCAATCAATTTTCCTTCAGCAATAGTTTGTTTAAGAAAAGACCCTAAGTTACTTTTTTTTCTTTTTTTTTATGGTATAAGTCTTATTAACTCTTTGTCTTTAAGTATCTCGAAGGAAAGGGGCTACTATTCCTTTCTACTATTAATTTCTTTCATAAGTAAAAGCTATGGTAAGGGTATAGTACACATATGTCATCTTTTGATACACACAATGAGCAACTAATGTGAAGATAGCAAAAGATAAACCCGTGAACACAGTCAGCACAGCAACCGGTGGCTCTTTTTCTACTTTTTTGGGACTTGCTTTTATACTGCATGTAAATTGTAATAATACTAATAATATTGTATAAGAAGAATCTCTAAACTAAGTGTGCAAAAAGTTCCATCAGTATATGTCAATGAACATTGAGAAATATCTTTTTTAAAATGTAATCTTGATTGTTTAAAAAAAATATTGGTGCATTTGCATTTGTAAATCTAGAACTTTAAAGTTTCTGCTTTTTAATTTTTCTTTTAAATCTTTTTTTTTTTTATACAATGCTGAACGAAAAGACCGTGGAAGTGAGAGTTATAGAAATACATTTGAAAATAAATTTTTGTAGTCAAATATTTGTGGCAGTAAAATAAAATGATTCCGAAGGAATCTGTTGAAAATAACATCACGCATTTTTTCTTCATTAACATGACAATTTTTATATGTAGTGCGATATTTATTTATGCCACTACATGAATTGACAATAATTAAAGGGCCAATGCTGTTGAGGAAAATTTGTAAAAGTGTTTTGTAATCTTCATATTCTTCCGTTATTGCTAGGATGCTTACAGACAAATTCTATCCATTTTAACTAATAATATGAATTTCGAATCCTAGCGTCCTATCAGTAAACAAATTCTTAGAGTCTCATATTGATGAAACTGAAAAAATGTACAAAATCTCTGACATTACTATTATTTCTTTCTTAATTTCATTTTGCTCACAAATATTTTGAGTTATGTCAGCGAAACTTATTATTATTTTTGACAAATATGAAGATTAAAAATAGCAATTTTTCGTTTTTAAAACTGGAAATTAAAATCTGCTTGAAATCGCATTATAAGTCAGGATATTTATACTATTCCTCAGTCAAGACACGAAACCAAACTCCCTATAGTTTCTTCTTCTTTGTTACGCGCTAAATCAGTTTTGATAGAGTACATTGAGGATGTACGTAAACAGCAAGGACTCAAAAAAAAATAGGACTTTGATTATTTCGATCGATTCAAAATCATTTTCTGAGTTGCTTTAAGCTTACCTTTCTATACAATGTCCGCACATTTGGTTGTGCGTTTCACTTAAAGGTCGCGTTTTGAAAATGGATTGGATCAAATCATTTTGCGACTTCAAATTTATTTTGAAAAAAACGAATAAGAACATTATAGACTGGCAAGGATCCACATTAAAAACCCTGCACCATATTGTCTAACGCAATTTCTATCTTTATAATAGAATACAAATATTATATCTTGTTTCTATGCAAAGACATATTTTTCATGTGCCTACTTATGCAGAAGTGCGATTAAAACGCAACCTAATGTAATACAAATTTAATCTTTATATAGGACAGGATCATTTCTTTCAGTTCGCTTTTTTATCAAATTACTATTATGGATCAATTTTCGTTGCCACATATTAAAACTCAAACTGTTCTGCTCTACAAAGGGTCAATTTTCGTGAAAATCCATATTAGGGTAGGGTCCAAAAGGTAGACCGAGAAGGACCAAATTTGGCACAGTTAATTTGTTTATGTTAAATTACTATTATGATATAATTTTCTTCATGAAGCGTTGAAAATTATACCTTCTTGTCGTGTCAACTTCAGTGTTCCTTATATGAGGGGGTTCCAAAATTGCCCTAGCCGGTCCAAAGTTTCCATACCGACTTAGAATGCTCAAATACTACTAGTTAGCCACTTTTGATGAGAAATTTTAAAAATTGCAACCTTTTCCCATATAATGATTAACTTTTCAGAATAGGGCGTTATATGGAGAGTTGTTGAAAAAGTGGACCTATCCGAACCATTTTCAATAGAAATCGTCCTTGGGTCGAAACAAGTCATTGCACCAAATTTCATCGAAGTATCTCAAAAGTTGCGACTTGTCGTTTGAACACAAATTTATATGCACAGACTTTAGACGGACAAAGGGTCTTCTGAATCGACCGCTGTAATAAAAGGTGAATCTATCTCAAGCCCTTCTGCCTTTTACATACGACCGGTCTAGGTTAATATACCCTGTACGATAAGTGGCTAAGGAGCAGTATTTTGGCATCTAAATTGGTATGAAAACTTGGAATCAGCTGGGGAAATTTTTGAACGCCCTCTCATATAACGAAAACTGAGGTTCATACAACAAAAAGGTATAATTTTCAATGCTTCGCGATGAAAATTATATAATAAAAAAATATTTAAAAAAAATATAAAAAAATTAACTATACAAAATTTGAACCATCTTAGTCGATTTTTTGGATCCCACCCTAGTAAAGGGTTTCACGAAAATTGATTCTTTGCAGAGCAGAAAAGTCTAAGTTTTAATATGTGGTGATCAAAAATTGACCAATAATAATATAGTAATTTCGTACAAAAATTAACCCTACAAAATTTAGACCATCTACGTCTATCTTTGGATCCTGCTCTATGTGAGGATTAAAGTTGTATTATATTAGGTTGCGTTTTGGGCCCGCTTCCCCATAAATACACGCATTAAAAATACGCCTTCATACAGAAAGAAGATATAATGATTGTGTTCTGTAATAATAATAATAGATGTAAGCTATTTAATGGTCGGTTTTGCCTAACTATAATGTTCTTACTTGCTCTAAACATCAACCTAAATTAAGCTAAATATAGCCTAATCCACATTCTACATTATTTTTACCATATATAGTTTGTTTATACAAAATAAATAACCGTCAATTTGGCTCCCATTTCTACGTTTCTCCTAGTTATTAATGCATTTTATTGGAAAATTTGAGGAGAAGCATTAAAAAGCTGGCGACGATGGTACTTGATTAGTCTCTTGGCGATAATCAATTGTCCCCTAAAAAGAACGAGGCGATAATCACGGCGATGATCGCCTGCTTACATGATTATCCTCCTAATTTCTAACGTTAGCAGAAACGAGAGCAGAAAAGTCATCTCTAATTTTCTACACTTAGTTTGTCTGTTTCAATTAAAAACTAGGGAGCAGCCATAAGAGCATAACGCACTATAAGTACTCATTATAATCAGAAACACAGAGAGAATATTATAAATTTAAGGGTTAAAAAAGTATTTATCATAAAGTTGAACATGTCGTAGTTTTACGGAAAAATTCTTATTAGGCGACCCTTTGAACTTAATACACCTCTGCGATGGATATTCATTTCAAATGCAAATATTAAGGAAGGAAAAACGGAGAGAATGTTTTCTTAATATATTTTGAATTGTATTTGAAATTAGATCATTTAGTTTTAAGGCATCTGAATATGCTTGGCGCAACACACACTCCCTCATATACATATATGTAGATAAGAATACGTATACATATAAGAACCATATATAGTAGGATTAATAAATATTTATGTTTCGCGTAATTAATAATTCTTTAAAAAATTTAAGGAATCATTATTAAAATAGAAAGAGAAAAACTGTTTTAATCACTTGCTCAACGATTCAAATGTGAAATGAATTATAGCTTACGATAGAATAGAAATGTGATAACCATTATTTTGAATAAGATTTTTTCTAAGCAGTGTTAGCATGTCGCCCGATCATTTCAGTTTCCATAAAGCGTCCAATTCGTTAAGAGGATCCTTAGTAGCTTGTTTCTCCTGGGCGGTAACTTGTGGAGCAATTTTCATTTGATAAGAAGTCATAATGCCTCCTAAAATCGATTTTTCATAATTAAAAAAGGAGTTCTTATTTATTTATGTAAACATTTAATCTTACGCTTGTTTAACAGATCATGAGCATGATTTAAAACAATTTGCAATGAACGTTCCAAAGTTTCAATATCCCGTATAACTTGTTGACGGTGCGAGCAAAGGCGGTGCCACGCGTCAACTACGTCTGTGAGAAGAGAGTAAGCTTTGCGATTTATTTGGTTTTACAAAATTTGTATATAATTATTTTCTTTTACTTATTAATATTGGACGTTTGTGTTGCGTAGCTAATATTGCACAGATTGCTACAGCTACTAAGCCAGATCTCTCGGATCCTGTTAAGCAGTTAATTACTAATGGCGCTGAAGGAGTATTGAAATCTAAGCAGCGTTGCTGATGAGCTTGTAATACGTTACGGCCGATACCCACCACTTGCGAAGGGTTACTTTAAGATGCCATTTTAAATGAGCCGAGATTTATTAAGTGCATTTTAAATTATTAGATTACCTTTTAGTCCAGGTTTTAATTTGCAATATGGCCAGTTCAATGATAGCATCCGAGCTTAACATGGATAACTTTAATTGATATTCTTGGCAATGTGAAAGAGATACAATTTTTACACATTTCACAGAGAAATCATCGAAATGACTCTCTTTTTCCAATGTCTGTGGCCAAAAGGGGTCCAAAATCTGGGATGAATGAGAATTAATAAAATATCGTTTTAAATTTGTTTATTGGAAAGCAGACCTCATTGGACGGATGCAAACATAAAACTGTTCGTGCTTTTTGCGACCACAACATCGACCAAAAATCATTAACTGTATTTTGTTGCGGTGTCTGGGCTATAATGATATTTGGGCAGCCGTTGCCGAGGTCCTAGAAAAAATTTTATTTCTTATTAGATTCAAAATAGTTGGGATAGAGCTTAAAGAAAATATTGCGTGCCTAACACGCGTATAAACCTCGTTTCCTAAAAAAAAAAAAAAAAAAAATAATTCAAAAGCACTATATACATAATGGTTACGGAAAACGGACATGTAAAAATCGTTATTATTTATTAAAATATGCCAAATTGACGTTTCAATTTTTCTTTTCACGAGATGTTTTGGTTCATCAAATACTTTTCACTATTCGCGAGAAATCTTTGAGCTTTGAAACCATAATTTTAGCATTTTGCAAAAAACAATACATAAGAAGAAATTCATGACTAAACTAGGACAAATTTGGGACCCTTTGATCAAACTTATCAATACGAATGGAATTGTTTTTTTTTTTTTACATATTTGGTTTTCACCTTGATATGGGCCGCATTTATATAATCATCCGTTTCTTTATCTAATTTAACGCGAGCATGATCGTAAGGCAAACCGTCCAACGAACGATTTTTTTCGGGGAACAAACGCGCGATTGTTGTGCTGCGTTTATAGTTATCTTTACTCAATAGCTCCTGCAATTCTTTCCATTTCGCTGTTAGCGGTGTATGACCATTTAACATTTTCACATTTAAGGTTTCAATGATTTTTTCGTAACGTTCCACTTCTTTGTGAAAATATTTCAAAACTTTATCATCTGAAAATGGATCGACTGACTTAATTCGGAATGTATTGGTATTATTACTGTTGCTAGAGGAATGTTTATCTGCATGGGATTCACTACGTCTAGAAACTGAATCCCATTCAAAGTTTTCCAAAGAACTTAGATCCGAGCAGTTGGAAAGATTATCGTAACTGGATTTACGAGCGGCCGGTGAATCTACCGGTGAGTTACATTGCAAAGAGGTTGTATTGGTAATCGGGATTATTTGGTTGGCTAAATAATCCTACAAATGAAAGAAACAATTCTCAATAAAGAATACAAAAGTTATAAAGAAAATGAAATTAAAGCGAACCTCTACTTTTTTCTGCTTTTCATCGTCTTTCAAGGCTTCGGTTAGTTGGGGGGTTTCATTATCTGCCACTTGTGTAGATGGTGGACTAGGTAAGACTTCTGGCTTTAAAATAGGTTCTGGGAGCATAGGTGGTGGTCCTACTATGCCCGAATCCGAAAAATCAATGTCACTTAGTAAATCAATATTTGACGATTTTTTAAATGTCGATTCGACCAGCAGGTTGGAATCCTTTACATTACTATCAGCTTTTGTATTGTTATGTAACGTAGTCCTTTCTAAATTACCTTCTGGTTGAGCTGCTGCTTGCATTTCCGCTTGCCCTGGTGTTGAAGAAGCCTGCTGAGTACTGGTAGCATAAGTTGTTGCACTCTTTGTTGTTTGAGTATTAGCTGTAGTACCGGTGCCACTTTGCATGTAAATGGCTGCAGACGGAAATTGCTGATAAAGTACTGTGTTTAGTGAAATCGTCGGCTGCGGTAGTCCTGTTGTTTGATTTGTTGCAGTCATGGTTGGTAAATTTTGATTGATTAGATTATCGGAGTTTACGTAATTAGCCTGGTAACCATATGGCGGATTATAATAATTCATGCTGGATAATGACTCGCATGTTACTAACGTACTATATGGCGTTTTTCTAGCAGTGTGCGATATAATGGGCGACTAAATATAAGCAATTTTAAAGAAAGACACAAACAAGAACAACGAAAATGTACCGAAAACTAAAATATATTAATATTTTTTTTCACTTACATCAAAACCTGTGGCTACATTTATTTTGCCCAATTTTTCTGAATCTGTTGTTCCTACTTGCAATTTCAAGCCGTCTTGAACTGATGCTGAAGTGTACTGGCCATGGGGTTGTAGACTGACAGCGGTTGTCTGATGATAGCCGCTACCATATTCATAGGTTCCTGACTGTGTATTAAAACTGTAACCTGGGTGTACCGTGCGGGAACCATAAGCCCTATAAGAGGAAGTATTTGCATTACTAGCTATTACCGAATGTGCAGAGCAACTTATATTCGTAGTAATTGATGATGAAGGTATCGCGTTTACCAACGACGAGAACGCGATGTTCGGGTCTGACGGGTTTTGGAGATTATATGGAGAACTTTTTATTTGTGTTGCTTGAGATTGTTGAAATTGAGGCTGGCTTCCCTGCGATGACAATATGGATGGTTGCTGATTTCGTCCCAATGATGCTGATTGCAATCCTGGAGCGCTTATCGCTTCAATTTGTATTGACTGGGTGGTCACGATATACAGGGGTTGTGTAGAGGGTACACTTGCCGAAGCTGTATAATTATTATAATTTGTAAGTTGCTGTTGTATAACTTGTACGTAGCTGTCCTTACATGAAATAGTTGCTGTGGAATTGTTATTGGTTCCATACGTTGCATACTGTTGCGGTATAGTTGTTGTTGAAACTGTTTGGCTGTGTATTTGTGAAATAGTGGGAGCACCAGATGCTAGATTGTACACAGAGGTGGCTGGTGTGACAGAGGAAATAGTTGATGTGCCATATACTAATGAGACCACATTTGACATAGAGCTTGCAGAGACAGCAGAAGCCATATTTGCAACTTCGTATTCCATTGGAACCAGGTCTGAGATTGATGCTGTGGAAGCAGATGCAGCATAAGGTTGTGAAGATATTGACTGTTGCTTTGCAGGTTGCGATTGTGTAGGTTGACCATAAGTAGATATATTATATCCCACCTGCGGTGTCATGTAATGGTTAACATTTCCCCCAGAATTTCCTAGGAGCGGGTTGTAAGCTAACTGACCACTACATGTATTTGCACAGTAATTGTTGTAATTGATATATTGTTGTTCTTGTAGTGGCAAAGCCGCTATGTTGGCACTTAAGGCGGTAAACTGAGAATTGGGCGAAGCTTGTGCTTTATAAGCCGGGGGAGCTACATTCTGTTGATATTGCATATACATGGGGTTTGTATAACCGCGGCTGACATCTGAATTTGATATGCCCGTAATATTTGCATTATAAAAGGGTGTTTGCTGCAGACTATAAGGTGGTGGCGGTTCGTTAGGACCCACTGCTGGGGGTATTGAGGCTGCTGCACTATTAGGATAATAGGAATTACCCGAGCAAGCGCCCTGCGAAGGATCCTCTGATCCCAAAGGATTTGGTCTAATCGATGGAATATATTGTTGACCACTGACTGTTGCCAATTTTATTTCTTTGGAAATGTTTTTCGATTTCAAGTAATCCCTAAGTTTCGGTGTTCCGCAATTAACGGATACGTTTGTAGAACTATTAAAATTGTAGGCGTCGCTGCTGTGCACCGAAGAATTGTTTGAGTTTTTGTTACTTGCGCCAATTAAACGTTGTTGTCGTTCTTCTGCTTGCACGTCGCGAGCTGATTTGCAACGTGACAATAGTTTTTGCACATTAGCTAAAGTACGAAGTACAAAAATTTATATTGCTGTTTGTTAAAATTATAAAAGTTTTTCGCGCACCTGATAATTTAGTATAAAACTCTAGACCTTTGGAGGATTTATTTAATAAGTCCTCATAAACGTCATAGGAAGCTGCCAAGGAAGTAAAGAAAGTTTCTCTTTTATGCTTAACGTCGGCTAAGGTTTTTAAAATGGGCGCTGCTTTAGCATAGTTCTCTGTTAACGCTTTCAGTATATTTTCTTGAGCTAGCAGATTTTGATCTATTAGTTGAAGTAAACGCTCATGTTTAGACAATTCACGATCGAAAAGATTCTGTAGTCCTTCATCTTTACCATGAGCTATTACTTTGGCCGTAATATCATCCTCATTAACAGCTATACGCAAATCGGCATGAAATTGAGATCGTTGTGCTTTCATTTCATTTACTTTGTTCACTATCAACTTAACATCTTTGAATATTTCCGCAGTATTAAGCTCTGAGCTTAGTTTTGGTACGGACTGTTGTATTTCTTGGAGAGGCTTAGCTAATATCTTTAAGTTATTTATATGCAATTCCATGGCTTTACGCAAAGTATCGTTCGAATCTCCGGCTTTATTGTGTGCCTCCGTATACTTTTGATATTCTCTACTTAATTCTGTAATATGAGCGTTAGGTGTCCGTTGTAAGCCACTTAACTGTTGAAATTCCCGTTCTTCGTTCTCTTCCAGAGCTAAAATATTACCAATTTCGTGCAGCTGAGCCTCTACTTCGCTGCAAATATCTGCTAAACGAGACATAGATTTAATTAGCTCAGGTATTGCCGATTTGTTAGCATTTAAGTCAGCGCAACGATCTACCACTGCTTGTGGAATTTTGTTGGCTTTCTCTTCGTTAATGTTTAAATTCTCCAAGCTGAGAGAAGTCATGAAACTGGCAAGTTCACCGTCTTTTTCTTCGATTTTTGCGCCATATTTCCTTAAAAGTTTAGCTTTTTCTTCCGAATACATCGAACTGGCCTCATGGGCTTTCATGGGAACTAAGCGAGCAAATATGTCTTCTCCGGCTACCTCGGGATCCGTTATAGAGAAACTGATACCGTTTACTAAATTTGCACCCTGTACGGCAGCAATTGTATTTAATTCAGGAACGGCTTCATGGTAAATAAATTCATTCTCATTTTTCGCATTTTTACGTTTTCCCTCTACTACATCTGCTGTAAAAATTAAAGACTCATTGATCTCCTTTTGGTCAGGTAACCCTTTAGATTCTTTGCGTGCTTCTTCTAGCTTCTCCCAAGCGGCCTACGTATAAGAAATGTATTTTACCGATTCATAAAGTATAAATCCTTCCAACTTACCTCATACAGAGTTAATCTCTCTCCCATTTTTCTTTGCTCCTCGGCATGCTTAGCCTGATATAAGTAGAGAATACAATTTAGGTATGATATCTTAAATCGCACATATTTTTTCCATAATTTATAAACTGAATTCTCCACCAATCGTTTTATAGGACCTTCATCTCCACCGGTTAAAAGGGCCGCCAAAGCTGCGCCGTAGTACACCACAATTTGTCCTGTAACCTTGGCAACAATATTGGGCTTGCGATTATCAAGCAAAGATTTCTCCAAAATGCATTCCTGAGCCTGGGCAAAGGACACTTGTTGCATGAATACTAACAATTCCTTAGTAAGCATATCACCATCACCAACGTCCGCATAACGTTCACGCAATTCGCCAAAAGCCCACGCAGCGCATTGAAAATGAGTGCAAGCTAACTTCATGCCATCAACATCGCCTCGAGTTACCGACGCTCCAGTTTGAGTATGTGCTGTTGCTATGTTAAATAAAACAGCTGCTTGTTCATAACGTAAATCGTTGTATTCGTGCACTTTATTGTCATATAAACCTTTCCAGGTAAAGGTAAACAAGGATTTCTCGAGCAACTGAGGAAAACGATTTTGCAAGAAGTGTAGTTGACAATAATATCGTTTCAAGATTGTGCAATTATCTTTCGTTGTATTAAGAGCCTGATTTCGCAAGGTTTCTAAAGCGAATACTTCTTTAGTGTAGGCGTCCGGATCCTCTTGATAGAATTCGGCTATGTACTAAAAACCATGAACGAGAAGTTATGAAAAACAAGGCAAAAGAATATAAGAAAAACTTAAATAATTAATAGATGAGTCATTCAATTACTACCTCTTTGCTGTGTTATAAAAATTATAACACCTCTATTAACTTATTATTAGGGAAAATTTATTGATTTTTCATTCCTTACCTTCTTTAAATTACAAAAAGACGTGCCTTCTGGGCTGGTTTTGCTGGGAAACCACACCATATGCAGCCTGGGCACCGCCTCCATTGGTCGCGATAACTATTCTACTTACAAGATTTCTTCAATTTTTCTTCACAGTTTATCTCAATTGACTGTTCTATCGTTTTGTATTTGCTTTCACTTCGGTTAGTTTTTATCTGTTTGTTTTTTATTTTAAAGTGTATTATTTTACAAATTTAAAAAATTAACAAGATATTAATTAACAATGAATTTCCAGACGCATATAGAAAAAATCGCTGACAATTGCTTTTCCTTCTCCCACTTACTTTAGAGTTGCCATGAACCAATAATTAAACTCAGCTTTTTTAATGTAGTACGTAAAAATATTGATTGACTTAAACTTTTAACAGTTCATAATTATTTTAGGGAACAATTATAAAAACCCTCAACTTAGAACTCTGTCGTGAAGAGAATATAAGAGTCTTTCTTTATTGTGTTTAGTTGTCCCTTTTAATGAGCAATTTTCAAAAACTGAAACAAAATAAGATATTTTGATTTTTATAACTATTTTCTAATGTACTAAATAAAAACAAAGTATGGCGTGCCCGCTTATTCTTTATCATCATAAAGGTGGCAGCTTCGTCCATGATTATGTGTCTTTTAATAACCATGGTTCGTTTTAACGACGACAGAAGATCTCTTTTTTATGTATTATGTATCGATATCGTATTTATTTTGAAAAATTAATAACAGAAGTGAGCGTGTCATTTGTTTGTTTATAAACAAACAACAGTATGTAAACAACGACTGTATCATAAAGATATAAATAAACGGAAAATTTTATAACATTTGGAAGCAATAAAATGATGTAAGGTTAAATAATAATCATTTTCAACAAACAAACATGAGAAAATCCAAAACTAAAAAGAGAGTATTAGCGGATCGATGGTGCTATGGAAAGCATTAAGAGGAATCCATCAGCAACTAGTTACTAGTTATGTAGGGTGATTGTCTGCGTTCATTTTTAAGTTTCGATTTTTTTGGCTTTCATATAGCTGTAAATTATGCGAAAATTAATAAAACTTACGTTTTGCATTAGTATTGGTTTTTCATGGTTAGCACTAGTTGCTTAGAGTTGCAATTATAAGAGAAAACAACTGTAAATGGAAAACAAAACGTATTTGAAACGAAATTGTTTTCTTACAAACACTTGAACTAAAACAAAAATTTGAAATTTGTGAAGGTAATGAAATTCAATTGTTTATATAATGCTCCTAACCTGCCAAAACTTGTAAACAACTCTGCATGCTCCATTTTTTCACACATCTTACACATATATCTTCATATACTGTCTCCCAGTTGAGGAAAATGAATGACAAGGAACCAGCATATCCTCTACACTCCCATTTGAATTGTATTGAAAAAAAAAAATACGAGGACTAAATCCGCTTTTGTAAGAGTTAAAAAATTCGGTTTTATTTTGACCTTTAGAAGTTAAGTAAGAAGAAAAGATTCGTTTTAAAAGACGTTACATTCCTTATAGGTAAATTCATACCATAACATATATAAGGATAACCTGCTGCCATGGAACGACTTTAGTTGATTTCCAGTTTTAATCCAAGCTGTCAGAGATGTGACTTTTGATAATTTTGTATAACGAATCAAAATTTTATACATTTATTCTTATAGAATCGTGGAACTTATCATAAGTATGACAAAAATATTTAACTATTGTTACAAAAACTTTGTCAATGCAATATTAAGCAGTTTTTTAAATTCCTTCAATGCTATTAGTAGTTTACCAACATACTTATGACCTGAAGTGTTTAGTAAAAGGCGTTACAAAAACAATTGCAGTAAATAAATACCACAATGGACATTAATACGAAATCAAGCAGTGTATGCAATTTTTCAAGTTCAATACTGACGAAAAGTGATTAGTTATTATTGTTGATCTCTAAAACTGATAATAACTGAAAAGTATAATTTAGATTAAGTAATGATTCCTCACACACGAACTTATTCAATGATTTCAACTTCGTTTGACCGATTTATCTCCGCGTTGGGTTATGTATTGATATTACTGCTTCTTCTTTCCTCATCTACTATCTCTCTGTTATCTATACTCTTCGCCCAAATGTTTCTTCTATAATTTATTTTTAATTCCAAAGTCTCGCAAACACAAAGATTTTTATTCTATGCTTATTAATGGCAAGTGTAAGAAAGTTTAAGTAGTTTTGTGATATTTTGTACGTAGATATTAAGAATTTGTTCTAAGCCAAAAATTTACTCATAGTTGTCGGACGTTATAAAATTTAATAATGAATTAAAAAAAGATGACGCACATGCAGTATATACAAAATTTGGTTTCTATAGTTGAGAGAAGAACTTCTTTACAATGCAGGCGAGGTATTACAATGGATGAAAATGTTTATAACGCGCAGTAATTCAGAACTTCACGAAGATTAATCCACTTCCTAAAATACAGTCATAATGGCGAAAACATATTAGTAAAACAGCAACCGTTGCCAAAAAGTCGTGGATAGAGGAAAACGGAAAAATTGAAAAGCACTTCTACAACCGCTTGGATGACTTTAGCGAGGACAGTAAGAAGTCCTTCCCGGTATCTTCGTAAGACAAAAATGAGGGTTAAAACTGCGGACGAAACTTCAACAATTTGAACAAGTACACTCCAAAGTATTGCAATCTTAAAACAAAGAAGAAAACACCGAGTTCACTCATTGCTAGGGCTACTGCCTAAGGAGTTGGCGATTTGAACGATGGTCGACTTCAGGTGATCAATTGAAGACACCTGCAATATTAGTAATCAACCACGATGCTGCTGTCGTAATCCTTAATAACGATAACAACACCATTACCCTTCCATTAACACCGGTTTAACGCTTAGTTGATAGAAATGATGAAACTGCCTGGTCATAGTTGGAGTTGTAAGCTATACAATGGGCTTAACCAAGTGGCTCCGCGGAACATTGACTCATACCACCACTGCTAGCACCAATTTACAGGAAACCGATAGAGAAAAGCCCAAAGTAGCTGAAATCAATAGCTATTTAGTCTAAAAATCGGCACAAGCTATGGTGACCATGGAGGCAATGCCATCTGTTTAGCCTAAATGTTGTCCTCAACAGTAGCCTGGTTTAGTTACCGCAGACCTTTTCGTATATCCAAATTTGCACTGCCGGTTAAAGTAAACGACATGGGCCAAACATTACACAGGGTCACTATTGCTGTCCCATTAACAGAAATGATGGTGTATGAGGAAGAAGTCACTTGTCTTGGGAGAAGGAGTATTCTTCTCTGTTTTTTTTGTTTTTAGACCTAATGGATTTTTTCTGATAGAGCATTTTTATATGAAAGTGAATGTGTAATATATATCTAATGTTTGAATACTGGACCAGTTTAAGTTTTTATACCATGCGCCATTTAGGCAGACTATGTTTGTGTGGATCCATGCAAGAGCCTGAATCTCTTTAAGCATGTCCGTATGAGGTGCACCCGCGTATTTTGTTTTTAACCTATACGGAATTTAGGAAATATTTATTAGCAGTAGTTTCCAACGTTTCCTTGTTGGTTCTTGCAAGCGGTAACGAACGTTGTAATAGTGAAAAATCATCTTATCGGCATAATATAACCGTTTTTCTTTTAATTGTTGCTATTATGCATGGCGTTCCTTAGAAATTAATAAATGCCAAGTGGAATTTCGAAGCACTCATGTAGTCTTCCTTTTAAGTGAGTTTTCATCTCTTCTTTGAGATTCCTATTTGTTTTTGCCAAAATTGAATAATGAGACAGCAAGATTTCTTACTTGAAATAAGTTCAGACGTAGCGAAAGTATATCCCAGATGAGGAGCAATCCAAATGTGAACATATTTTCTGTTTATGTCTCTGCATCTCTTCAGCGTGTATACATAAGAAAGGAAACGAATCTTAAGGAACTGATTTAGGAAATATTATAATGCTAACATGTATGCACATTTACTCTATGTACTGTGCTTGAATACTTGGAATGCAGTGAAGGGTATATATATATATACTTAGCAATATATTTAAGTGCATAAAGTAGATTGTAATGCATCCCTATGTATTTTAATTTTAAGAAATTACATAAAAATGAAAATGTATGCGGGCAATAAACGAAGTCAACAAACTTAGAAAACATTAGAAAAGAATTAGAAAAGAAACGACAAATACAAACTATACAGTCATTTCGTCTACATAAATGGAATTCGAAGTAAAAGGTATTACCAGAGAGATAAACGAAACTTGGTAAGAAAATTTAAAAATGGAAAAGGTTTCATCCATTGGATGCTTTTTCAGGTTTACGTTAATATGAAACGCTGTTACATTAGTAGCCATTTGACTGTTTACCATTTTATTTTATTAAAGACTTTTGATTACGGTGTCACACGGCACACTTTATTAAGCGTTTACAAAGAGAGAGTATATACACTTTTATGTTTCTAAGTGCGTATATGCTGCAGTGTATATGTATGAAAAATTATATCGGGAAGTATAACGTCAAGGTTTACCGTGACATTCCCTGATGAAATATCTCCAGAGAGAAAAGTCTTTTCTGGAAGTTTAGTCAGGTGATGATATTAGCAATCATAACTTTAAGCAAAGAAAATTCAGCGTTTTCTTTAAGAAAATTAAGTAATTTTAAGTTAATTGCGGTCAAGTCGTACATAAAGTGGTCTTTATTTTAAGCCTTAAAGATGCGAGAAATATGAAATTTTTGTTCAGTAGTATCAAGCTTTTTAAATTAATCTCTGGACAATAACCAAGAATATATTTAAAGTTACTGGTTATACTCTTTATTGATGATCGCACCGTCACCTCTGACGACTTATATAAAAAATTGATTAAAATCTCCAAAAGAGCCACGTAATCCTTAAGTTTTATATAGTTTGGGATTAACCTGGAAAACTTTTTCGAAAAATTTGCGATCTTTGTTGGGATATAACGCTGATACACGAAATGAAGTAGTTCCTAGCAAGTTCATTATTCAGAAGAAGATTTTTTCTTCACAATTCGCGAAGAAGACATTGAAGTCTTTCAGATTGGACTACCGACTGGCAAAGTGGTAATAGATAGTTTCCAAGCTATAAAGAAGTATTCTTGTAGCGTTATTCCCATTAAAAGCCGAATACAAGGATGCCGATGCCCATTCTGATGTCGAGAAGAAAACAACGTTGACATCGTCGGCAATGAGGTCGATCTGAAAAGTCCATGAAAAAAAAGAGCGAAAGCCGCAATATTTCTCAGGATATATTTTCCAGGATATGAAGATGTTTTGAAAAAACACGCTGTGGAACACTTTTAACTTTTATAACGAAGGAAGAGTTTATTTCAGGCAGTGCGCCTCAAATTTTTATACACGATCAAAATTATAGCGCAAGAAGCTTATATATACAGAATTTTTGGAATGAAGTTGTTAAGTAAGCTCTTACTAATACGAAGTACGCATAGGAAAATATTATGAAAACAACATGAATTACATATAAGAATATTGATTGCCGATAAATTTGTAGAGGCAATGAAAGAGTTGGCTTAGTACGATCGCCGTTCTGTTAATGAATTTCACCCTGCAAGCTTCTTCCTTATTGTACAAGAAATCAAATTTTTTCAAAAATTTGAAAATATGTCGATTTATGGTCTACTAATCGGAATAATAAAGTATAAGCCAAATTGCGTAAGTTGTAATCATCTATTTACACATTGTGCATTGTTTTCAAGTTTATTTAGACAATTACGATGTGTAGGCATAGAAAATATGCTGGAGAGGCAGCCCTGTAAAATAAATACGTAACGTGCCCAAAGCAGTAGTTCAAAGTTTTCAAATTTTAAATATTTTTAGCGTGTGAATTAATATAAACGATCAGATGAAATTAAATTGCATTTACTACCTCCGGTTTGGTTTTTTTTTTCATATATTTACACATCCAACTATGTGTATGAGAGCGTCTATACACTTAGAAACGCGAAAATATATATGTTTTATATTTGAAAACATTTCAAGGAATTTTTAACAGAATTTTCGCCCGTACAAACGATGAGAATGAAAGACCAAGCAATCAAACGATGGCTAATGTACCAGCTGCACTTTTATATTCTTGGCGGAAGGTTAAAAAGTATG